TAGCAGGAACTCTTCTCCACTGGATCCACCAAAATATAGTCCGGAACAATAAAACAGCCAAGGAATATCCCACCTTCTCCCCAGAAACGGGACGACACACCATTCTGGGAGTAAAACTGAAGTTTGTTGACACATACACAGCTTTTATACCCAGTCCCATGCAAGTTTTACACACAAATATGCAGGGGTTTCTATCCCAGGATCCTCTGTGCCTGGGAGATAATTGCCTGAGAAAACTCCTCTAATTTAATTATCTCCCAGGTACAGAAAATCCAACAAAATATCCTGTACCCCAAAAGTACCTCAACCATACCCCAGAACCCCACGAAAGGTACCTTCCCCAAATAGTCCTGATCTGAGTGTCCAACATATATAAGAATTACTCTGATTAGTTCGGCAGAATGGGAATGCCACCGTGGTAATGTTTTGACCGTCCAGACACTGGCTGCTAGCCCAAAACAGTTCCAGAGAATTAGGTGTCCTGGCCGGTCTCCGTTCGTGGGGCTTCTGTGCAAACACCATACAAGGGAATCTCTTTATTTCAGGATATGAATGCTCCCCCTGTTCGGTAGTTCATATCTCCCGACCATCATTCATGTAGGTGGTCGGGAACTGGAACTTTCGGGAGACAAGATGGTCGCCATTCTCTCTGCCACGTGTTCGGTTATACGAAATGGCGGCCACCCAGGGGAAGCACTCATTAATTCTTTCCCTTGTGGTTTCGCACTTAAGTGGTTGATATCAAAGTTCTAATGGAGCACAGGAGTGGCCCTAGTTCGGGAGATGAAGGGATTTCGTTCGTATGAAGTCTTCCGAACAGCCAAAGAGGAAACAGGGGGAAAATGCATGAAAGAGGGAAGTTCTGCTACAGGGGTTGTGGACAGACGAAAAAGGGCAATAAAAGATGCCTAGCAAGCGTCCATTCCACTACGTTTATACTGAAAGATTTTTCACAGCAGTTGGAAGGTTAAAGGGACACTATAGTCAGCAAAACAACTTTAGCTTAATTAAGCAGTTTTTGTGTATAAATCATGTCCTGCAGTCTCACTGCTCAATTCTCTGCCATTTATGAGTTAAATCACTTTGTTTATGAACCCTAGTCACACCTCCCTGCATGTGACTTGCACGGCCTTCCTAAACACTTCCTGTAAAGAATCATCTAACGTGTATCCTTCCTTTTTTGCAAGTTCTGTTTAATTAAGATTTTGTTAATAGCTTGCTAGACCCTGCAATAGCCTCCTCTATGTGATTAAAGTTCAAATTACATCTGATTAAAAGTGAAACCAGTATTTTTAATTCAGGCTGTTTAAGTCAGGGGAGGTGTGACAAGGGCTGCATAAACAGAAACAAAGTGATTTAACTCCTAAATGGCAGTGAATTGAGCAGTAAAACCTGAGAAGCATGATCTATACACTAAAACTGCTTCATTAAGCTAAAGTTGTGTTGGTGACTATAGTGTTCCTTTAATATGGTTATGCCTCTGCTTGGGGACTTTCAATATCTATAACTGTCAGAGTCTGTATTTTATTTGTAGAGAATAATGCTTTCAAGGTGCCGACACTTGTCTGTGGGTTTAATCTTTATACCATGTTATTCTGACAATGAACGTTGGAGAGACAATGGAGAGAATTTGCTTTATATAAATGGAGCTCATTACAGTAACAGCAATGCTAATACACAGGGTTACATTAGGAACTTGCATAAAGATGTTCAGCTTGCAGTCACCAGGATGAAACAGATATAACCAAATGGATGTAACAAATTGAAGGAGAGAGAGTATTGTTAAAGGAATTGTCACCATAGATCACTGAACCCAAAAACATGAAATAAGTTGAAAACAATGAATGTGTTAAGTTTCTAAACAGATGTCTTATTGGTGCTGTAAAAGTGAATAATACCTAGGTTTCCCTAATAGAAAATGTGTTATGTCCTAAATAACAGATGTCCTAAGGATGTTGTGACAGTAAATCAAAGGTGTTCTTTTCTAAAAAAATAAAATAAAATAAAAATGTCCAATGGGTGCTGTGGAAGTGAATACGTTTCCCAAGACCTGGATCCTCCTAAAAGAATCTATTTTGTTGTAAATGGAGCTTAAGGCCTAACATGTCCTTATTCAAAAGTTCCTGAATTTAATATCAGATTTATTTCAATTTCCTAAATCTTATTGTCATTGCAACTTATTGGTTATGTTTGAGGAATTAACCCCTTCAGGACCGGACTGTTTTGGCCATGTTGTACATTAAGGACCAGGACTGTTTTAACACTTTTGTGGTATTTGTGTTTAGTTGTAATTTTCCCCTCTCTCAGTTACTTTTCCTATATAAAATATATATTCTTTTGTTCAGGAAAAGAAGGGCTTCCTTTACATACCATCATTTGTATCATGTGATATATATGATACTTAAATAAAATAAATTAATATGGTGACATTTTTTTTAAAACTTGCTTTTTGTTTTTACTTGAAAAATATTCTACTGATCTACAAAAGCTAATAAAAAAAACTGCTAAAGAGAATTAAAATGTTGTCCTGAGTTTAAAAACACCCAGTGTTTACTTGCTTTTTTGCTTATTTTGCAAGTTATAGGGCTATAAGTACAAGTAGGATATTGCTGTTTCAAAATATAGATTTTTAAAATGTATCAATAGTGACACATAGTGTAACACTGTTATGTGTCATAAATCTCAGAATCACACCTCACATGTACATATTTTTTTTTAAAGTAGACAACCCAGGGTATTCATCTAAGGATATTTTGTCACTTTCTATCCAGCCATTTTACAACCAATCTTTGCCAAACTTCGCATAGGTAATTTCTTTTTTTGATTTTTTTCACATACATTGCAATTCAGGTAGAAATTCACAGATCCTGTAATGTGTTGCTGCCAAAAAACACACCAATATGTGTCCAGCAACATCTCCTTAGTACAGTGATACCACCCATGTATAGGTTTGTCGGGTTGTTTGTGGGCTAAAAGGCCACATTTGGCAGTTGCACTTTGAATGTTGACATGTAGTCAACCTGCGCCCATGTCCTATTTGGGACATTTTTGAAGCTGGCCAATGTATTTTAGCCCCATTAGCCCCATCAAACCATATATTGTTAAAAAGTAGACAACCCAGGGTATTTAAAATGGTGGTATTTTAACACCTTTAATGCACTAATTCTACCACCAGTCTTTGTCAAACTTTTGGGTAGTCATTTTTTGTTATTTTTCTCTCACATTGTACTTTAGGCATGAATTAACAGATCCTGGCTTGCAAAGGCTGCAGACAAGCTTTGCCCCCAATGAAAAACCCCAAAACATAATTATCTACTAAATAGTGATTATACAAAAAAGTTTTATTTGTATTTGGGCAGTGGTGTGTCCAGGGCCGGTCTTAGTCCCTTAGGTGCCCTGTGCGAAAAATCTTTGCAGCGCCCCCCCCCCACCGTCATTCTTTTTATAGCGTATTAAATAAATAATGATTCAAAAACAAATATCAATTCCTCCTTTCCTGTTGTTACCTACTTGGGAGAGGGGCATACTGATCTGAATCTGATCTGCCCCTCCACTGGGTGCAGACCATGCGTAACTGTCTCGCAAGCTCAGGGACTTGCAGTGTCCTGTGGTAATCTGCGGCAGTGCACTGATTGGCCGGAGCTAGGAAGACAGCTACTTATGGTCTGCAACCAATAGAAGTGCATGCCAGATGTGTCAGACTGCAGAGTCACATGCACACAGTCCCACAGTCAGATGCACACAGTTATACATATACACTGTCAAATACACAGGATCAGGTAGAAACACAGTTACAGTTATTTGAAATAGTTCTTATTCTGCTATAATAAAGGAATTTTGGCTCTAAATACTCTGGTTGCCATATTCCTTTCTTATTTTAACCTATTCTATTCTTTTATTTGTATTATTTTACTTTTAACCTGACTACATTGATTTTTACCATCCAAAGAGAAGCTTAAAGAATCCTTAGGTGGGGTTTGTACCACCCATATGCAGTACATCGAGCAGTAAGCCTGCTCAACACACTGTGAGTACATTTCATACTTTTTATTTCTCTACTACAGTAAGATACAGTGAGCACTATATATTTTATTCTTTTTACTTTCGATTGGAATCACACCGCCGCTGGACTACTGCATTATAGGTTATACTCCATATATCCTTGAGTGGGGATTATTCCACTTCAGGCATTTCATACCAGAGCTGGAGTTCAGCTCTGGAAATTGTGAGTAGCATCTTATTATACTTTTTAATATCCAAGTATATCTACTTACTGCACCATTGGATTTTTGTCTCTCTGCTTCTTTTCCATATGTTCTACTGAAATTACAAGCCTGCACCCATGATGAATCACTGCTGCTCTACAAAGAATTTTCCCTACCACTGTGGACTATATTACTTTGGACTATATTATTTTACTTGTACACAATAAAGGCACACCCTTCTCTTGTTTTTTGCTCTGTTTCTACTTATGTATAGGGGATTAGAGGGAACCACCTTTTCTGTAGGTGTGCTGCCTGTACAATATACATATTCCTATTTTTTGTGGCACTTTAGCGCTGATTCACCCTGATCAAGTTAAATGTTACACACAATAGTTGAAGGATGTATATTGAATGTGCCTCACGATCTTCATTTAAGCCCAGCACTCATTTTAACAAATGTTCTTATCTCTGCTGCTGTATCCTAAATCCTGTATTTCAGTGCAGCTGTCGTAGCCCAGCAGGTTTATCACAGCTTTATCAAGTTTTGTGTTGTTCAGCTTTTCCAACTCCGTTAGTGCCACATGTGAGCAATTCACTTTAATTTATTGATTTTTCAGCTGTGCGTCGCAGACTGTTTCCCCACCTCTAGGCCTTTTAGCAAACTTCTAAGCTATAGTTTCTTTTTAATTAACTGTTCGCTATTTAAAAAAAATAAATAAAAAAAAATCATAAATACATTATCTTCTACTTGGGAAATTAATCATTATTCTGACAATTAACACACATTAGTACATCTGGAACCTGAGAAATGTTATTTTATTTGCAACGGTCAGTACAGCTTTTAACTTGTTGATGGCTACAGTATTGAAGCCAGCATATTAGGGGACAGTTTAACAGTCCGTCCAATAAGGATTTCTATTGTACACCATCATGGATTAGACATTGAAGTGAAACATTGTGATGCTTCAAAACGAATTCTTGCATTCTAAACAGGCCTCTTAGAGACCAAGAATGCTATCATTTTTGTGAACAATTTTTCCTTTGATGATGACATATTCAATTAGTTCCTGATGGCCACCAAATTGGTATATTAGATGTTCCCATCTGTGAAAAGAAGAAAAAAAAAACAACGCAATTAAAACCACAAATGAAATTTTTAAAGGAAAATAGAAAAAAATAAATACAGGTTCAAGAAAGTAGCTACCATTAACCACTCTTCTACATGGAACTTCAAGCTCTACGCCAAGTAAGCAGGATATCAACTTGATGATCTACCTAACTAGGATGTACAGCAAGGGCATTGAAATGTTTTTCAGACTAGATGAGTGTGGGCGTATGACAGCAAGGAAGATGGAAGACTATTAGAACTGAAGATGTTGTAGCCATTTTACATTTCCATGCAGTTTAGGTACCTGGGGACCACAAACACATGGGAACCATAAGAAAGAGGCAACATTCAAGTACCTCCTCAGTTTTAGACAGATCCTGAAGTCCCAGCTCAATATAAAGAACACCATGATACACATATTCAACACATACACACCTACCAGTCATCAGGTACCTAGTTGAGACAACTTGGCCGAGAGACGAGCTGGACAGTGGACACTATGGATATCATGACCCAGAAACTACTCACAATGAATGGAGGATTCCATCTGAAATCTAGCACTCGGAGATTATACATCAGTAGAAGGAAAGAAATCTTAGCCTTATGAGTGCCAGGGCCACAGTCCTGGATGAAACACAAAGCATGCACGAGCACATCACAAAAATGGCTCACAAAGATGAACGGGTAAGAAAAATGTCTGAGACAATAACATAGAGAGGAGGCAGAAAATGGAGGAGGTTTCATGGCAAGACAATCCCCTCTAAGAGGTCTACCACCGGCAGATGGTGGATGTGGCTCATATTATTAATTTGTACCAGTCATTGGAAAAAGCAGGACTGAAACAAGACAGACATGACTTAAGATGCAGACTGTCCAAAGAGGCCTCAATGACTATCCACCACATAATAGTCATGTGCAAGATGTGAGCAGTGACCGCATACGCTGAGAGGCACAACTAAATTGCTGGGATTGTGTACCGAAACATATGCGCAGAATACCGGCTGGTTCTGCCCAAGTACAGGTGGGAGATATCACAAATGGTGGTTGAGAATGACAGGGCCAAGATCCTGTGGGACTTACAGATCCAGAAAAGCAAGTACTGCCCAATCAACCCGACATTGTGGTGGTAGACAAGGAACGAAAGACTGAAGTGGTGGTGAATGTGGCAATAGCCAGGAATATCAAAAAGAAGGAAAATGAGAAGGTGGACAAATACCAAGGACTAGAGGAGCTAGAAAGGATGTAACCCCCAAGTTAGGAGAGTTTCTCCAGCAGATTCCAGATGGGACATCTGAGATCTCTGTCAAGAAGAGTGCAGAATAGCTAACATTCTGCGCAGAACCCCAAGACTCCAAGGCCTCTGGTAGAAAACTTGAGAAAATAGACACAAAATACCACCCTTAGAGGTGAGAAAGGCAATTTTCATAAACATTTTCATATTAAAATTAAAAAAATATTTAAAAATAATGTCAGAAACCCAGAACCTTTTACATCATTAACCTGACCAGAAATAGCTAAATTGTTTTCCCTTCATACTTCATTTTTAAACAGATCATTTTGATAACGGACAATAACAAAAAGTCAATTTCCTGGTGTAACACAACTCCCTGTAACCCAACCGGTAATCTCCGTTAAAGGGACTGCTTCCTACCTGGAACAGGGGAATGAATAGGGAAACTAGCTCTGCTTGCTCCCAGTCCTTACAAGGATTTTCCCCGCCTCATCTTCCACCAGCTGCAACATGCTGACACAGGATTAACACAGACCAACACAGGGTGTCTCCATTCAGTTCCACACAATCCAGGGGGGATTGTTTACAGATAATCTCCTGCTCTGGGAGATACCAATAGCACAACATTTACAGACAGTAGGACACATTACATACATGGGGTAAACTTAGGGGGCTTCACGTCCCGGAAAGGAAAGGGGTCACACATATCTCGCTGGATAGCCCCGGGTCCCAACTAGGATCCCTGCAAATAGCGAGGCTATATATATCGGATGTACAGAGCCCGAGAGATCATCGTATAAAGTCTGGGGCTAGAGGCTCTGTACATCCGCACAGTTAGTTCCACAGTGTTGCTTGGTTTAGTCCGGTGAATTCAAACTTCAAGCAACCAAGGAACAGCTAATCCGGAGAAAGCGCACATGCCAAATCATGCCAATCAGTGTTCAGAGAGGAGAGGGATTTCGCCATCCAATCAGGAGAAAGGGAGCAAAATCCAGTTTAAATGGGCGCTCCTTCTCCTATTGGTTGGCAGAGACATCCAGCCAATACGGAGACCTGAACGAAACAGTGCAGGCATGCCAGTTCAAGATACGAATGCTTCCCCTAGGTTGGCTTTCGGCTCTACGAACCGGCGGCCACCCAGGGGAGCATTTGTTAAGGATTTCCCTTGCGGTTTCAGAACGTTCTAATGAGCATTCAAAATGGGAACTCAGGGTGGATTTCATTCGTATGAGCTCTCCCAAACGGGGAACAGGAAAAATACAAGAAATGCATACAAATAAAGGGGAAAACACACAAATAAGCAGTGGGCATGGTACTCAGTGATGGCGGTCCATCACACCTGGCACAATCTGTAATAAATGATTCATAGTCTAAACTTCTACCACAAATAACTTTTAATACTGCTTTTGGCAAAAAAGTGGAGATTTAACAGTAGGTGTAACCTATTAATACAAACCTTGAGGAATTGATTATAACAACATCTCCTTGTTTTCCGACCTCCAGCGATCCATGGGTATGAGAACGTCCTAGGGCATAGGCTGCATTGATTGTAGCAGCAGCAAGGGCTTCGTTTAAAGACATCCGCATGTTCACACAAGCCAAGTGCATGACCATGGGCTGAAAAATGAAGGCATGTTTGTTCGCAAAAAGAGAATTTGGTGGTAAAAATTTACATTTTTGCGTAATCGATGCTTGCCATATATCATATGTACAAAATGAATGAACATATTTTATAGATTCATTATAAAAAGCAATGTAAACAAGATACATAAATACAGATGGAAAATGTCCCCATATACAAAGGATGTAACACTTCTCTTTATTACAAAACATTAAAACATGCTTTTTGATATGGATTTATTTTTTGTTTTATTGTATGTTTTAGGACTGATGTACGCTGTAGTCATAGCTGCCGCCCAGGAATAGTGTGAGTTTGAGCGCAGGGCTACGTTTTGTATGTTTGAATTTGCTTTTGTATCACACAGCTATGCACCGGTCTCTTTAAAGATTTAGCCGTTTAGCTGAAAACATGTGCATAGGGATTTGGGATAGTGCGCAGGTAACTATTTTTGTTTAATAGAGAACTTACCATAGATAAACAGTAAGCATTGGGATTGAAGTCACTCCCTAGAGAGACTATTACCCCGGCATTAAGCATGTCCCTTGCTCTTGGTTGTTTCAGCCTTGAAAGAAAAACAAAAACATAAATAGGACACTGAAACGCACACAATTTTTCCGTGTATAAGACGCCCCCATGTATAAGACGATCCCTATTTTAGCCCAAAATTTAGAAATACATATTTTATAATTCTTTATTTTTTGTGCAAATGTGAACAGTCAAGCTTCATATGCCACAACAGCTCTTTCAAGTATGGTAAAACAAATATAGGGTATCAGTAACATGGTATTAGTGAGGATTGCACATTTTTCATAGTTTAGTAGTGGAAAAGAGAACAAGCGTGTGAACATTATAATCTTGAAAAGCATAGCAGGACATTTGTGTTGGGCTAATAAGATGTGGACATGCATTTCTTAGGTACATGAGTCTGGTACAGGCTTAGTTAATAGAAATATCATTGTTGATGGAATCAGGGTTAATAAAGTAGATTACATGTTGTTTACATGGCTAGGATAACAAGGTAAAATTACCACTGGGATATATTAAGTAGCCTACAGCATAGCATATACAGGAACTGCAGAAACTAGATAGTAAAAACATGTTTAACTGTGTGTAGGAACATAATATGCTCAGGAGCTTTGCTGTAGAATGGTCTGCGGCCTAATCAGCCGATGCCTGCAGAGGGAGAGGCCCTGTCCTTGACAAGCTGGAGTCTGGTTAAGAGTAGCAGGCCGATCCGCCGGCTCCGTGCCTCCTCATACTCAGGTGCTGTGTTTGCTACAGTCTGGCCACGTCTGCCTGCTGGGTAAATCGATGGGGTACTTTCCTCGTTAGGCTGCCAGCGGTGTGAAGTGGGAGCTTGACGGCTATGCAGGTTTTGCCTGGGGGGAAGTCCCTTGGTGGTTCGTGGTGCCGGCAGATTGCAACCAGCTGGAGTGCCTGCTCGCCGGGGCTCCTGGGATGGTCGTGGGATCCTCCTACGCCTCCGTTTGCGGACACGATTTGGGGGAGTCCCCTCAGCGTTGCGGCGGTGAGTATACTTGGGCGGGTCTGATGCATGAGTGGTGTGTAGCTTGCGGTCACAGAGTTTTGCCCAGAACTGAGCACACAGCCGGTCAAAAGCCGCCAGCAATGGGTCGACAGGGTGAGGAGGCTGTGAAGGGTTCGGTGAAGCAGCGGGTCCTGGCTTGGCGGCCATTTTAGTAGGTAGGCCTCGACCCTCCCGACCTCTGTAGAAGAGTATTGCCACGCCGACAAGGCCGCTAGGTTCCACCAGTGGGGGCCGGGATATCCCCCGCCGGCCCAGAGGGGGGGGAACAGGACCTTGGTCCAAGTGTGAGTGAAGCTTGGGTAAGGGATCGGCTGTCTCCCTCACCTCAGGTGCTTTGGCAGGCCACCGAGACGTCGAGTATGTCGGATGCTTGTGCAGGCTTGTAGGCCCCGATGTGGGTTCATGTCACAAAAGGTAAAGGGGTGCTTCGAACTTTCCCAGAGAGTCCTCACTCTGTACAGGAGCAGGTAAGTAGGCGTTTGAGTAGTGTCTGTGGGTAGTATCCCATCATTAGAGCACGATTTTCCAGAGTTTTTTGAGGAGCTCATACTCTGCACGTCTGGCAGCCATGCTGGTCAGGCCCCGCCCCCAGAAATACATATTTTAAATTTCTATACAATCGATAACCAGCAATAGAATATTCTAATAATCGATACCTCAGGATGTAGGCTGTCGTAGGGAGCAACACGGCAGAACACTTTGTCTTAGCCAGAGCTACGATTCCCTCATCACTTATTTCTTCCAGGTGGCTCACAGCATGCGCTCCTAATTCTGCACCCAACTGGAAATCAGAAAGGAATTAATTCCGTCGCTTGTCCTGATGCAATTCTACTATTATTTTAAAATTGTGGAGTTTGGCATGTTTAAGAAGTCATAGTTAGAGGGTAGTAGACACATGGAATAGCCTTCCAGCTGAAGTGGTAGAGGTTAACACAGTAAAGGAGTTTAAGCATGCGTGGGATAGGCATAAGGCTATCCGAACTATAAGATAAGGCCAGGGACTAATGAAAGTATTTAGAAAATTGGGCAAACTAGATGGGCCGAATGGTTCTTATCTGCCGTCACATTCTATGTTTCTATGCCCCAAAATGGCAGTGCATTCATAATCCTGCCACAACAATACTATGCTGCTCAAAAGAATACAGTTTTTATTTGGGCTGTTTGCGTTGAGGGTACATTACCGTATCTCTTCGTTAGAGCTGGGATAGCCCCTAGCTAAGGTGTCAAGGGTTATGTGTTTATTCAGTAAACTGTTAGTGATGGTGCACAGGATCTCCACTCCTGACATTTGGTTAGGGGACAAGTTACTGCAAGGGAGAAGCTCAAAAGGGATCATGTGTGGGTACAGCACACAATCATATAAAGCAGGGGTTCCAAACCCAGTCCTCAAGTACCCCCTAACAGTTCAAGATTTAGGGATTACCCAGTTGTATTTAAGGTGTTCTTAGAAAAAAAAAAAAATACAGAAAATAAATAAATAAATAAACCCTTTAGACACAACAGGGTAATTCACTAAACTGGGAATTCAAAGTGAATTTCATATACAAGGCCAAAGTAGCCAAACTGGAAAAATTCTTTAAGTCAGCAATGCTTTTCGTTCGGCTACTCTGGCCTTAAATTTCACATTTGTAACACGTGGACCAACCTCTGCAGATTTCATGGGACTAAGTTCATCTCCATGGAAGTTTAGATGTAATCCTATGGCTTTTCCAGCTTGAAGAATTCTTTTGGTGGAGTCCAGGTCAAATACTCCCTTTTCACAGAAAACATCAATATTATCCACGTGAATTTCCCCATTCAGGGCTAACTGTTTCAGGGCAGGTAGATGATTAGTTATGATGTCATCTGCTGCTTCAACTGCATTTTTTCCCCTACCAAGAAAGATAGAAAGCAGTAGGTAATAGGGTATAAATGATCTTTTAAAATCCATTCATTTATCAACTATAGAAGTATTAATACATAAATGCGCATGAGAAATCCTTGCTCTACCACTTGTAGAGTCCAATTACATGTGAACATGTCCTTTTCCTATTTTAAAAGGAGCTGTATAGTCACCATAACAACTTAAGAACTTCATCTAATTTCAGGAAGTGCAAAGTGCCGCTGGGCAGGGGCATCGCCGATTGGCTAGAGTGGTCAGCTGATGCTCTAAGACAAGAAGTAGATCCCCATTCATAAAAAGGTACCTTCATTTCAAATGAAGTTGCTATGGTGACCATCATACAGTTCATTTTTTACAATTCATTTTTATATCTATGACTTGGCTGAGTGTATTGTGTTTTAATAGGGCCCAGAGCCCTGCTTGCAAAAAAATAAAAATGGACGAAGATGAATTTCAGGGTGTGTTCAGGGTTTTTACATATTACCATAATTCAACTTCTTTTATTAATTGTGAATGGCTGAGATACAAAGTTGCTGACCGAAAATAAACAAAAGAATTCATGTTTATGTTCCATATGGATCAGATTGTCATTCCTTCAAGGAAAGTCATTGATCCTTAAAGAGAAGTTAGTTTTGCTACCGTATAAAGAAATGGAATCAGTGAAACTGTGTCACTAATTTAATGGAGTATTATTCAAAGCATTCTTTCTCCTTATTCTAATTTTTGCCGGCCTCTTACTTTGGCACTGAGTGAGCTCCGCAGTAAGTAGAGGAGATGCCGATGTCCATTTCCGTCTGGGCACGTTCTATGACTCTTAACATCTTTAGCTCGGTCTCCAGCTTTAGACCGTACCCACTTTTGCACTCCACAAGTGTAGTGCCTGCGCGGAGCATCCTTTGCAGGCGGTGTTTAAAGCTGCAGTACAGTTCTTCTTCTGAAGCAGCGGTGGTATACTCTACTGTGGAATTGATCCCTCCTCCGGCCTGGTGGATTTCCATGTAAGTGGCTCCTGCAAGCTAAAAAAAGGAAATTCAGCAATAAATTATTTTTATAAAATAAGTGTTGAAGACAGATTACACTGGATAAATAAGGCTGCAGGAACTGTGTAACCTTTATCTTCTAATAATACGAACGCCTTGTGTCCTGTCATACATTGCAACGCTTTCCTACGACCAGTAAAATTAATTTACTAAAGGAAATTGATTTTTTTTGGCTTAAAATGTTAGGCCAAGTGCCCAGGGGGACCTAGGTATGTAAAATGGTTTGCTTCATTACCGGGGGGGAAAGGCACCAGTGTACTCCTACCAACATAGCCACTACTGGCTGTAGAGGTTGTGATGGTGCTATAGCAATTATGCTCATTTATTGTCACCTAATACGAGAATGATTATTATGATAGCTCATCTCAGTTGCCATTATGACTATCTACATAAAAAAGTAATATGAAAATGTTTTATACACACAATTTGTAAGCGTATTTACCATTATTTGAAAATGTACTAATTTGGAATTTATTGCTCTGTTATCCATGCACAACTAATCTAATCTAATAGAAAGGAGGGACAGATTGATTTAAGTCTCAAACAGGGACTGTTCCTCCTATAAGGTGACACTAGGAATCTATTAATTCATTGCACCGAGAGAACCTGATTTCCGTTTCAAAAACAAATTGTTTATTCTGTTTGCATTTACTCTAAAGTCTTATTGTCCTTTGAACGGAAGTGGGAAATAGAAACAAAGAATAGAAGATTACCTTCATTGCAAATTCATTCACTCGGTCACCAGCCCATACAGGATGAGTGTGCGCATCAATAAACCCTGGAAATTGAAATCGCAAAATAAAAACAGCATTAAGTCTGCTTTACCAGTACACGTACAGCGTTAGGTAAAGGTGGATCGCAATCATCAAGTATTAGACAGATACAGGTTGTACAATCTAGTTTAAAGAGATCTCAGGATCTGATATAACCAAACTATATCAGGAGGCCACAGCCTATAACACACGAGGTATTTCAAATGCAATACAACAAGCAGCCCCACACATACACACACCAAGCGACCCTCAATTAAAAAAAATAAGACTGGCACACAAAGGGACTTGGAGATATTGCTTTGGCACAGTACTACTTAAAAGGTACTGCTTAAGACTAAGTGCCATGTTACATGAAACGCGTTAAGAGGTCTCCCTGGGATACGCTTTTGAGTGATTTTTTTGCTGCCATGTCCTTAAGTTTTTACTTTTTTTTAGATTATATTAATAAATGGCATATTTTATTTGATCAAGGACTGTATCTGCTTTTTACTTGATTACGGGTGTTAGGCCGGCATCTCCCTTGTGATACTTTTTAAAGGCTACCTATAGAAACATAGAATGTGATGGCAGATAAGAACCATTCGGCCCATCTAGTCTGCCCAATTTTCTAAATACTTTCATTAGTCCCTAGTCTTATCTTATAGTTAGGATAGCCTTATGCCTATCCCACGCATGCTTAAACTCCTTTACTGTGTTAACCTCTACCACTTCAGCTGGGAGGCTATTCCATGCATCCACTACCCTCTCAGTAAAGTAATACTTCCTGATATTATTTTCAAATAATATTGCCCCTCTAATTTAGGACTATGTCCTCTTGTTGTGGTAGTTTTTCTTTAAAATATAGTCTCCTCTTTTAATGTGTTGATTCCTTTTATGTATTTAAATGTTTCTATCCTATCCCCCGTCTCATCTTTCCTCCAAGTTATACATAGCACAGTAGTTAATGGAGATACATAGCAGTTCACATTCAGAGACATTTTCACAGGCGTCTAAAACCAGAATTTAGCTAAAGAATTACAGCACAGATTTATACCTTGTTTAATACGATATGATTGTGTGGCACTGCCAGTTAGTGAACGTTTCTTGGAAGATGAAATCATGAAAGATGTACAGTATGCATAGGTATGGAATGATGTAAAGAAAAGATACATTAAACAGGGTTTTGTAGCCTCACAGAATGTACAAAAAAAAATAAAAAAAAAAAATAGACTTTATCTCACCCACCTGGCAAGACACATTTGCCAGAACAGTCAATTTTTGTTTCAAATGATTCATGAGAAAATTGATTACGAATAAGTTCTGTAGGTCCTACTGCCTTTATGTATCCATCACTGAAACAAAATACATAATTAATGTATACTTTTTAATGTGTGACATACATATAAACAACAGGCTAGTAAAACAAGAGTCTTAAAAATGAGAAAGATATAATAAATAAAAAGAAAGTAATACAATAAAAAAAACAAAAGAAAAAATATATAGATATATCAAAACACGCTAGCCGTTTTGTTTTAACACTTTCATCACTAACGTTTGCTAGTTTTACAGAATAAGCAAGTCGTGACTGTAACTTGTAAGAGTTGTGAGGTAGATGTGTTTTTCTATAAAAAGGGATCCATTCTTTTCATATATTGTTATATTTATACAATAATCCTAATCTCAAGACGTTGCAACATCTGAAGTTTTTTTTTCTATTTCTGACCTTCTGTAGAATTGGTAAGTTTAACTCACAATGTTTTAAATTAACAGAGTAGGCACTATTACAACTTATTGAAGTTGTTCACGTGCCATAAAATTAGTGGTTTCCTAATTTTAATTTTATCACATGACAGGAGGCTTCATATTTTGCATAACTTTCTTTACTTTATGCCTCCAGCAGCACAAGTCAATCAATAAACTTTAAACCAATCAGTAATAGGCATCACATCCATATATAAAGCCCTGACAGACACATGACTTCCTCTTTCTTTGCTGCTTACCAGCCAAGGCACAGGTCAGAGTATTTTGCTCCAAACTGTTTTACTGAATATTGCAATTGTCATTAGTTAATCATTTATTGCTTAACTTTCAGTTTGTTCTAAACAGTTTTTATTAATATTGCTATGGTCACTGTAGTTAGACACCTTATGCTAGACATTCAGTTTTAATCCTAACTGTTTTTTCTGGATACCACTTTAATTAAACTTTATTAATTGACTTTCAGTTTGCTCCAACTGTTTTTATTAATATTGCTATGGTCACTTTAGTTAGATTTTTAATGCTAGACATTCAGTTTTTGCTCCAAACTGTTTCTGGATATGCATGGGCACTTTTGTTAAACTTTATTAGCTTGTCCTGCAATTTTGGCCTAAACGTTTTTCATTATTTTGCACTTGCCTTCCATTTGGATTTGTATAGTGTGATATTCTCCCCCTGTTACCCTTCCCCTGAATTAACCCTGTATTTTCTGCTTTATTAGCCTGTTTTCTTTTTTTTTTTTGACATTCTTTATTTAAGTTTTTCAATATTCAATCACAGCATGTATATCCAATATAAATTAACATGTGGTAACATATAAACTGGTCAGTTATGTGTATTACAGCATCAAGATAGTTTCATCTACTGGATAATAAATTATATTTGAGTATTTGGCTTCATTATAACAGTGAGCGTTCTTTTGTGTTGTGTTCTGTCGTTAGCCCTGTATGGGGTTAGTCCCCTCTGTGGTCGGGTGCGAATGGAGTTTGTGGTTGCTCCTCAAGATTCGTGTGAGTTTTCGGGTGGGTTGTTTCAACCGCTCTGTGTTGTGCTCGTGGGTCAGAGGGTGAGTTGTACAACCCTGCATTGGTATCTGAGCTTCCTCATTTGTAGGTAGGACCCTAATAGAGAGGTTGGCTCAGTGCAAGGTTTCCCCTCACTTACTTATTGGGTCTAGTGTGACCTATGGTACTTAAGAGGTGTGGTAGTCTCCGTCTATGTGTGGTGCAGTTCGTCTTTGTCCCCAGCCTCGTACGTGGTGATTTGTTCGTGTTTCTAGTGCCAGGTTGATGGATATAGAGCTTTGTCCCAATCCGTGTTATGTCTGTCTACGTGTGTCCTTCTTTGGGGGGGTACCGTCTGGGGCTTTGTATGGGGGTCCAGTCTGGTTCGTGTTTGATTTGTGTGTTGGTTTAGGTCGTAATGAGCCTGGTGTGGATGGGCTCAGCCTTAAATCATGAGGGGGCCAATTATTCTGCCCCTGTGACCGTGTAGTTACCCCCTAGTTTCCCTGAGTCGATCTGTTTTAGGTTTTCCCTGGGGGTAGTTGGCCTAGGTTGTCCGTGGGCGCAGCTAGTATATGTAGGGTTATCCTGTGATGTCTTGTTCTGTCGTTGTGCGGTGTGTGGGGTCTGTGTCAGATGCCGTGTCGTCACCTCAGGCCCCTGGTTTGAGTCGCTCGTGCGGTGGGTGTGATCATATCATCCCTGGGGCCTGTAGCCTGGTCCCCGTGACTCTTCTGGATACCTAATTCTAGGTTGTTATCTCTTATCTTGGGTCTCGCTGGGTTCGGTGTGTGTGTGGGGTTATATATGCCACCTGCGGCTGCCCCAGTTGTTAGTTGGCGTGGTCAGGGCCGGGTGCTACTGGCTCCGGTCGTGGCTTCTTGTGTCTGGGGTGGGGGTGAGTCCATGTTCCTTACGTCCCGGTCTCTCTCTTCCCTCCGTCCCCTAGTGTATTGGTCTATATGTCGCTCTAGTGGGTCACTCCTCCCCTCCCGTGACCCATGGTCCTCTGTCCCTGTCTCTGCTCACTCATAGATTCCGCTTTGTGCGGAGCCTTAAGTCGGTCTGCGTGCCCCCGGGGGTTGTGTCCCTCCGGGTCTTTTGTGTGTCTATGTGTCATGTGGTAGGAGGGGTGGGGGGGGGGTCGCGTAGGAAGTGTGTCTCCGTCGTGCTGAGGGTGCAATCTACTCGTCTGGTACTGCCTGTGTCTGTGCAGAGCTCTGTTGGGTGGGTTGTATTGGTGCGGGGGCGCCGTCCCTCTCCACCGGGTCACGTCCTCCTGCCCGTTTTGATGTGTAGTCCATCCATGGGTACCACGCCAAAGCGCATTTTTCCTGGCGTCCCTGCAGGGAGGCTGTCATCATCTCCATGTTATATATCATCTCCACCCTATCTACCCATTGTTGCAGGGTTGGAATCGTCGAGCTTTTCCAATGGAGTGGGATGAGCGACTTCGCTGCCGTGAGTAGGTGTATGAGGATTCCTTTCTTGTAGATCTTCACCGGCGTGCGCGTGTGGTTGAGAAGTAGTGGCATGGGTTGGAATGGGACGTCTGAGCCCGTGATGTCTTTGGTCGTCTGATGTATCATCCTCCAGAACGGTTCGATACGTGGGCATGTCCACCAGATGTGAATGCTGGTTCCTATTCCTGTGCCGCATCTCCAGCATTCGTTTGAAATTGACTCATGTACGTGCTGCAGGATATCTGGCGTCCGGTACCATCCTGTTAGAATTTTGTAGTTGCATTCTTGGAACTTGGAGCTGATGGTCCCCCTGTGTGTTAGTTGAAAGATTTTAAGCCATTCCTTTTCCGTAAGTTCCATCCCGGTCTCTCTTTCCCATCGCGATGTGAAGCCTAGGGGGCTCTTATCACCGTCGCTTAGCAGCGCGGTATAGAGGTGTGAAACTCCATGTGAGAGATGTTGTCTGGCCGTGCATAGATGTTCCATCATCAGCAATGGGCGGTGTAGGTGGCCTTTACCCGCAATGCCGTCGAGGTATGTTTTCACTTGGTGATATCGGAATGTGTCTAGGCCACTGGGCCTACGGTCCTGCATCAGCGTTGCCAGGGGTTTGAGCGTCGTCCCGGAATTCCATTGGCTAGAGTATACCCAGTCCGTCGCTCCGAGATTTTTCAGGTCTGCCGTGCTTAGCCCTCCCGCTAACCTCGGATTGTGTGTTATTGGTGTGAGTGGGTTGGGCGATGACGTGAGGTTTTTGGAGTAACGTATCCTACACCACACCTTCAGCGTGGCGTCGATCATTGGGTTCCCGGTAAGTAGTTCCTTGGGTAGTGCGTCTCCCAGCCATAGCATAGCGGGGATTCGTCCCTGGGCTTGGTGTTTCTCCAGGTCTACCCATTGCTTTGTACTGGGGTTTGCATGCCAATCAACCATTCTGTGCAGATGGGTAGCGTGGTAATACGTGAGGATGGACGGCAATCCCATACCTCCTTCTCCTCTAGGGCGTTCAAGAATCGCTCTTCGGATACGCGCTGGTTTTTGGTTCCAGACGAAGTTCCTGACTGCGGTCGTCAGGGTCTGAAAAAATGCCCTCGGGAGGTACGTTGGTAGTGTCTGGAACATGTATAATAATCTGGGCATAATGTTCATCTTCACGGCACTGATGCGCCCAAACCACGAGATGTATAGAGGTGTCCAGCGTTTCATGTCTTGCTGTAGGGTGGTGAGCAAGGGCGCAAAGTTCAGTCGGTAGATAAGTGTCAAATCTCTCGGGAGCCACACCCCAAGGTAGTGTAGCTTGGCTGTGGAGATCTTGAAGGGGAATTGTGCTTGGATGTGTCGTTGGAGGATGTTGTCCTGTGCGAGCAGCAATATCTCTGACTTATCTAGATTAAGCGTCAAGCCGGATACCTCCTTGTATTGTCGAAACGCCTCCAGGAGATGTGGGAGGGAGGTTCTGGGTTGCTCCAGGAAGAAGAGCATGTCGTCAGCGTAAGCCGCTACCCGGTGTTCTCTTCCTCCTATGCTGCACCCCGTGATACCCCTGTCCTGTCTGACCGCCTCCAAGAAGGGCTCCAGGGTGAGGGCAAACAGGAGTGGGGACAGGGGGCAACCCTGTCTCGTGCCGTTATGTATATCAAACGAGTCAGTCAGTGCTCCGTTTATTCTTATGCGGGCTGTGGGCGAGGTGTATAAAGCCGTTATCCAGGTCCGCAGGTGTGGACCGTATCCCAAATGTCGTAGGGTTTCCGACATATAGACCCAGTCCACCCTGTCAAACGCTTTTTCAGCGTCAGTGGATAGTAGGACCATTTCCTTTTTGCCCGTTTTAGCGGTATGGATGGTGTTGAGGGCTCGAATAGTGTTATCTCTGGCTTCTCTTCCGGGGATAAACCCCACTTGGTCCGGGTGCACCAGATCCGGGAGCGTTCGGGCCATCCTGAGTGCCAGAGCCTTAGCGAAGAGTTTGATGTCCGCGTTTATCAGAGAGATGGGCCTGTAGCTGGCGCAGATTGTTGGGTCTTTCCCCTCTTTGGGTATTATTGCCACGGTTGCTCCCAGGGTGTCTCTGTGGAATTGGCCTCCATCTCTGATTGAGTTGATGCCTATCAGAAGTTTGGGCAGCAGGGTGTCTTTGAAGGAGCGTAAGTACGAGACTGGTAGGCCGTCTGGGCCCGGGGCCCTGTGTGCTTTAGTTGATTTCAATGCGCCAGATAGTTCCTCAATCGTCAAGGGCATTTCGAGTTCCGCCTCCTGGTCCGGGGTAAGCTGGCGGGTGATGTGGTTCTGAAGGTATGTGGTTATCCGTTCTCGATGGCTACCTATGTCTCTGTCGTGGTGGAGTCGTGGTTGGTTATATAACGCCGCGTAGTATTCCCGGAACGCTGACAGTATGCCGTCTGGGAGGCAGGTTGTGTCTCCACTGCTCGTGCGTATCTTGTGAACGTGTTGCGCTTTCCTTCTGTCTTGTAGCATCCTAGCTAGCAACCTACCACTTTTGTTCGAGTGTTCATAATAATACCTGGAGGCCTTCCTCGCGGTGTGTAAGAGTCCTTGTGATAGTATGGCTTTCAGCTACCTTCGTGCTTCCGTCAGGCGGAGGTATGTGCTGTCTGCGAGGTCCGTCTTGTGTTCCCCTTCTAGGTCAGCTATCCGGTCTAGCAGTGTTGTGATACGTCGTGTTCGTTCCTTCTTGCGTTTGGTGCCTATGGCGATGAAATGTCCTCGTATGAGGCATTTGTGAGCTTCCCATATCGTTAACGGTGGCGTCTCCGTATCTTCGTTGGTAGTAAAGTATTCAGTTAAGGTTTGGGCAGTCACCCTCTTACACTCTGCATCGTCCAGTAGGGATTCATTCAGTTTCCAGTGTCTTTCGCGGGGTTTATATAGTGGGGAGCTCGTGCGGATCGTCAGTGGTGCATGGTCTGTGTGGTCCATTATGCCTATTCGTGCGTCGTGGAGGAGGTTGAGGTATTCCTGGGCCAGGAATATATAGTCTATGCGACTGTAGTTTTTATGGACTGTCGAATAATGGGTGTAGTCTCTACCTTCAGGGTTACATGCCCTCCAACAATCCACCAGGCCGTGTTTATGTATAGCTCGTAGTGCTGCTAGTATGCAGTGTGCCGGGATCGCGGTTTGTCCTCTGGAGGTGTCCGTGCGGGGGTCCAGTGGTAAGTTGAGGTCACCTGCCATGACCAAGAGGCCGTCTCTGAATTTCTCCAGTTTGGCTAGCGTCCGGGCCAGGAATGTATGCTGCTTTCTATTCGGGCCGTAGAGGCATGCGAAGGTATACGTGTGTTCCATGATTGTACCCTTAATGAAAAGGAATCTGCCGTTCGGGTCCGCCTGCGTTGCTATATGTTGGAACGGCGTCGTCTGTGCAAAGAGTATTGCCACACCAGCCCTCTTAGCGTCCGGGTGGTTCGCGTAGAATCCCTGCGGGTAGCGTCTGTTCTCTAGTTTGGGGGCGTCCAGTCCTCGGAGATGAGTCTCCTGCAGGAACGCCACGGAGGCTCTCACGGCCCATAGGCGCCTTACCAGGTGCGCGCGCTTTTCAGGTGTGTTAAGCCCCTGAACATTATTGGACCAGTATGTCAGTTGGGCCGGGACAAATCCTCGCGAGGCGTCCATCCCGGCGGCAGGGCGGCGTCCCCGCAGCGTTGTCTGTATGTGTAAAGGTGGTGAGTGTGGGGGGGGTCTGTCTGTCTGTGGTGGTGATGTGAACGGTCTGGCGTGTCTTCTAGGTGTGCGGGTGTGACTCTGACCCTGTACCGGGTGTATTCGTTCTCGAGCCTGGTGGGTAACCTCAGCGACGAGAACGCCGGTGTAATGTACAGTGTGGGTCTGTCTCAGTGGGGGTTCCGTGTGGTCACTTACAGTGAAGTCGGTCTCGGATCTGAGTGAGGTTGGTTCTCTCCCTTCTCCATCGGCACCCAACCTGTAAGGGTGTGTGCAATCGCCATGTTTGCCTACTCTAGCCTAGGGGTCCGCAATAGTCGCCCGGGACTTAGAGTGTCGGTCGGGCTGTGGTGTCCTGTACCGCAGTCCCGAGGTCTGGGAGCGGATAAGCCTACCGGTCCAGTCGGCATTATGGTCAGTGGTACCCGTGGGTCCCCCCGTCACGGTCGGCTCTCCTGGCGTCCCGGTCCTAGTGGCCGGGTGTTGTCAGGGGATTCTACTGGTTTTGTCTGCCGGACATCCCGGGGCCCTCCGTGTCTGCCCTCCCCCGCCTGGTAACTTACAGTTCGTTGGCAACAAGTCAGCGTGTCTAGGGTGTTAGGGCGCTGTTTGGGGGTAGTCAGTCCTACATGTGTTGGGCTGCATTGTGAGGCCACCCTGTGGGCGTGGCTCGCCAGCTCCCACGTTTGCGTCCCTTCAGAGGGGCTGGTTTGGGACGTGGTCTCTCCCTGCGCCCAGAGTTTTCGTCATGATAGTTATCTGCGTGCCTGGGCTTTCGTAGTGGGGTGTACCAACATGGCGTCTTGCTTGTCTCAGTGAGGCAGATTGTGCGTGGTTGTCCCCTCATGTGAGTGGCTGTGATGTGTGTTGGGTGATATAAACGGAACCGTGTATAACTAAACAACATGAACAAGAAGTGCCCAGCTTTGTCCCAGCCCCCCTCCCAGCTCTAGCCCTGTGTGCCCGCATGTCCCGTAGCCCTCACCCTCCCGCATCCCCCCCTCAGCTCTGTTCCGTGAGCAGCGGTGTGCTAGAGCAGCCTGTTCAGTTCAGCAGTCTTGACCCAGGGTGTGACCTGGGTGATGGTGTCGGTGTCCAGACCCTTTGTACCCTGCCCATCATCCCCTCCCCACCTACGGGGTATGTCCCCCTTTTTGCCCCGGGTGTGTGGGTTTGCTGATGGGGCCCTAGCCCCCGGCCGCTCCCCGAAAGTGGCTTCAGTTCCCTCCCCACCTGTCTGCGGCCTTCCTCCCTGTCTACTAGCTAATGCAAGCTGGCAGCGGACTTAAAAGTACATACCCCTGCCGTGGTGTCATCGGATCTGCATGGCGTCCATAATCAATGCTGGGGTAAGCTCGGGAGGCAATGCCCTGATCTGGCATGGGATGTCTCATGGGGGGCCACTGGTCCGTGCGGCGTGGGGGCCTCTATTCCTCAGGGCCTATTGGGCCTCCTCTGCGTCTTGGTGGTCCAGGCTCCAGGTGGATGTTGTGAGCCACTTCAGATGGGCCTGTGGCTCGCGCCGGGGGTCCCTCCAGGATCCAGTTTGGCACTGAGATAGCAGGTAAGTTGGCGGTTCTTAAAAACCGTGGCACGTCGTTCGGCCAGCGGATGATGTGCCATACGTTTCCCATCCGGGCCTGCAGGCTAAATGGAAATCCCCATTTGTATGGAATTCGTCGCTCCTGAAGTGCTCGGGTGAGAGGCTGCAGGGCCCTGCGGGCATCTAGGGTGATGGTAGATAAGTCCTGGTAAAGGGATATTTGTGCTTCCATGTAAGTGATGTGCTGCTGTGCACGTGCTGCCCGCATTATAGATTCTTTTAGCGGGAATGACAGGAGGGCGCAAATCATGTCTCTTGGCTGCCCGTCTCTTCTGGGGGCGCGGAGTGCCCTGTGAGCCCTTTCGATGCCGAAGTCGCCAGGAGCTGCATCTCCTAGTAGTTGCGCAAATAGGCCATTCAGGATCTCCTGCGGTACCTCGTCCTCGGATTCAGGCAGGCCTCTGACTCTGATGTTGTTACGCCGGCCGCGGTTATCGAGATCCTCAACCTGCCGGCGGAGGTCCAGGAGGATGTTGCCCTGCCTCGTGGTTGCCAGTTCCGCTGCCTGTCTGTGCTGCTGGGATTGTATGCGCTCCTCTTCCAACCTGTCTACTCGCTGCTCCAGCGCCGTGAGGTCGGTGCGCACAGCCGCTATTTCCTCCCTTATTATGGCCCTCAGCTCAGCCACCATTTCTCCTTTATCCTTCCGGGTCATCATGCTCGCGGAGATCGCGGCGAGGTCCGCGGATATTTGGGACAGGGTGCCAGGGGTGCTGGATTCCCGCGCCGAGCCCGCTATGCTGGAGCCCGGGGAATCGAGGGCCGGTGTTCCGGTCTCGCCCGTGTCGCGGAGGCCATGCGGCGTGGCCAGGAACTCGTCCATCGGGCCGGCTGGCGGTCGGGAGGGGGCCGGAGTGACCTGGGCTGCGGTAGGTAGCCGTCGATTTTTCCCCCCCATGGAGGTGCGCTTTCTGCGGCGTTGCTGTGCTGGTTAATCGGGGCAAATCAGGTTGGGGCCTAGGAGCTCGGAATGAGTGCGTCCTACTCCATTGACTGTTAGGCCACGCCCCCTATTAGCCTGTTTTCTGTTGCTGGCACCTTTTCTTTCCTATGCTTTACTCTGGTCTCGCACGGATCGCGGCGTTTTTTATTCATTGGTGCTGGGACTTCAGGGCAGGTCTCTGGGGGTTGGGGATGTCAGGGGGACTCTTTTCCATGCTGGCAGACCGCGATCGTATCCTCGATCGTGGGCCGCACGGCACTTTTGCGCGCGAACGGCGGCCATCTTGAATCTCGCGGCACTTGCGAGATTCACGTCGGCCATGTCGTTTGGCCAGTTCGTGATTCCCATGAACTGGTGGCTAGTTCTGTACTGTTTCATATATTTTTCCTGTGAAATAAAAGTTTTACAAGTACTTTTGAGCTCAATACTGTTCATGGGCATGTGGAATAAAGGTTTTATATGTACCTTTCCTGGAAGATTATGAATGGACTGTTCACTGCTGAGCTCTATACTGGCATATTTCATTGGCATGTGAAATAAAAAAGTTTTATATGTAACTCTGCATGAATATGTAGGACTGATCCCTGATGTGTGCATCTGCTGACAGTTTGCTCTATTCTGTTCTATACAATTGACATGTTGAATAACAGTTTTATTGTACATCTGGAGGATTATGAATGGACTGTCCCCTGCTGTGGGCATATAGTGGATGCATTACTCTATCTACTGGCATGGAAATTAAATAGAGCTGATAGCTTACTCCGCTCCCTACTCCCACTGCACCTCACAACCATTGGATACACTCCTTCCCCACAGGGATACACCTCCCAGGACACAGTAGTGGAGGCACATAACGGAGTGATTAACAGGGGTGACCCCCCTTACGCTGGGTGACCCCCAAGCGTGGCAGACACCTCTCCAAAGTGACATTGTGGTACAGGGGTGACCCCCCTTACGCTGGGTGACCCCCAAGCGAATCTGGTTCCTGTCCTAGTGACATACATATACTGGGGTGATCCCCCTACTCTGGGTGAACCCCAAGCGAATATTATTCCGGTACTAGTGACATACATATACTGGGGGGAACCCCCACGCCCTAGGGCGGGCTCATTTCCACGGAGTACGATCTGTTACTGTATGCACAGACCGGGTCACACTGAATACATGTATATCGACAGAGCCAGGAAGGAGAGCTCATGGTGCTGCCAATTCTCCACAGTACAATATCCTAATAATGGATAATTTGGAGGCTACCATACCTCCCCATACACGGGCTACGTCCCGACATTACTGACCGCTCATCCCGGTCTTATTGAGGGAGACCCCCTCCTCAGACCACTCCCAGGAAATCTCTAAGTGGTACTGATTGAAACAATTCTGGGTGACTCCCAGTTGTACGTGGAGGCCCACTAAGTGGCAATAAGTGTACTACCGTACCTGACACCTGTTCGGTACCCCATAGACCGAAAGAGTGTCCCAACATGCCATAAGAGACATTCATACAGGGGTGACCCCCTATGCTGGGTGAACCCCAAGCGAGTCTTACTCCGGTGCTAGTGGCATAGGTACAAAGGGGTGACCCCTTCTACCTTCAGAGTACGCTCTGTCATTGTATGCACAGACCAGGGCGCACTAGATGCATGTATTCTGGCACCTCTATGCTTCAACTGGGGTTCCGTACGCCCTTCCCTTAACCGAGAAGAAGAACTCACAGTGCTGCCAAAACTCCACAATTCTAGACCATATAAGGATGAACCCCGTGGACTATATATATTGAGGCTTTCACGTCTCCCAGACTCAGGCTACGTCCCGACATTGCAGACCGCTCATCCCGGTCTTACTGAGGGTGTCCTCATTCTCAGACCACTCCCCGGATCCTGCGAAAATGATACTGATTGATCAAAATTCTGGGTGACCCCCAGTTATACGCGGAGGCCCACTGAGTGGCAATAAGTGTACTGTTGTACGATCCTGTCTCCCACGGACCGAAAGGGTGTGAACCAACATGTCGGACTTACCTCAATATCCCCGACCGATTTTCAGGCGAGGATTAAGGCCGCCATGACAGCTCCGGGGGAAGAAGTCCTCTCCAGTATGCTGGCTAACAACCCATCCGACAGAGCGGGTGCAACGGCAGCAACACCAATGGAAGATTGAGATACCGACGTTAGGTCGGACACCCATCATCAGGGGACGAGGACTTCATCCTCCCCCCCTTCTCTGGAGATCATGAAAGAATGGAGGGCAGAAGAGGTAAAAGTGACAAGACCCGCCTAGCAAGAAAGGTTTTTTCTTTGGCACACTGGACACTCCTGTTTTGACTCACGCACCATCCGACAACCAGGGTCATCCACATGGGGTTAACCGGAGCACCGGGCCCACTTCTGGCTTAGGAGGCCTATGGGAAAAGAAATCAGAGACAGGCTCAGGATGGAATGCCCACGCCCTCTATGTCCGAACAAGATAGTCCTCACTATGGAGCTCGGGGTGATATGTATGTCCCGATCAGGCCGGGGTCCATGTAAAGGTGTAGGAGGAGGACTCAAAATGAGTTAAGATGAAATACTGGATATGATCAGCCCGGGAAAAAAATTCTATACTTTGCGGACCTGACCCCACACAAGACTCACCTCTGGAAGCTCACGATGTGAGGGAATGGGTGCAAAGGGCAATATGTAAGTTGGGGAACGCAAGGCAGACAGGTGCACAGAACGCCGCAAAGCAGCCCGATTAAAGATGGATTTCAAACTATTGAAGTTAGGGACGAAAGAGCGAGGACCTCAGGCAGACGGACTATCGTTTGGAGAACCATTTATCTCAGCAACGGTTTGGTAGTAAGGAAGAAGATAGGAGACTATCACCCAGTCATCAACCTATGCCAACCCAATGGTTTTGGGGCGTACCGACAACTCAAGAAGGAAGGTATCCATCTCTTAGGGGATCTACAAGGTTGGACTTGAAGGGCACTTACCTATAGGTTCACATGGTGCCTCATGAAGTTTCTGAAGTCGGTCACTGCACACTGAAAAGCAAAGGGTATCTGCTGTCATATACATAGACGACTTACCTTTTGCAAATCCAATTCATGACTACGTTTACAAACGAGATTTATGTTTACAGTTTCGGGAATTGTTGGGATTCATAGTGAACAGAGAGGAGTCGGTTCGATCCCAGTTCCGAGTGATTCAGTTCCTCTATTTCAGAATAGATTCCACCTTGGGCGGATTACACCTTCCCACATCATTGATAGCGATTCGTAAGGAAATTCGACGGGTACGGCGGAAAGGCACCATAACCCTTTGACTATTTCCCAGGACTGCTTCACTACTGGGCCAGACAGTGGCTGAAAGCTCACTGCCTGAGATACGGACACACCTATGAAATTGGGATCAGAATAGCGAAGACTTCCATAGTACTCATCGCTGCGGTAAAGGAGGCAAGCGTGACACCCAAAAGGGTTGTCCTTAATCAGGATCATCCTCTGCTCCTTCCGTTTTAACTTGCCTTCGGGCGGATCCAAAAGGAGAACATCATCCATTGAGAATGCAGGAGCATCTGGAGTTGGTAGATTGGTGTCTTCCAGGGGAGACTGGTATGTCAAGGGACTATCGCAACCAACTAGAGACCTACTATGGGACTCATGGACGCCAGGTATTCCCCCGAAATAACTTATCCGCATGGAACACCTGGAGTTCGCTGGTGTATGGGAAGGGACTGCGATCCCTTTATTACCCCTATCTCCACGATGCTGGATCTTTATCATACCTTTTCACTACAGGCCGATCGGAACGTTCCATTAACGGGCTACGTTCCGCGATTTCGACGACGCATAGCACGATTCACGACACTCCGGTCAATCAAGAGCCTTTGATATGCCATTTTCTGTGGGGTATCAAACCGTCCAGAACCATGCGTCAAAGTATCACTGGTGTGGGACTTTGATTTGGTTCTTTTGGAACTAGTCAGATATCACGGTCCTATCCCTCAGTCAGCCGTTAGCCAGAGTCACGTTACTTTTAGGTCTTTTCGTCGGGTATCAGATGTACTGGAGTTCGACGTAGACGGTCTTTTCGGTATCACCGGAAAGAATGATTTCTACAGTGTCTCGTAGAACTATATCTTATCCGCGTCCGTATCGTTCCCTGTTACCGACGGTTTCCCAGTCTTTGTGCAGTTAAAGCGGTACTTTGTTACATGGAGATCACGACAACACTTAGAATGTCACATTCAGGACATCTGCTGGTCTTATACCAACCGTACAAGCCAGTTACCATGAACACTCTGTCTAGATGGGTTCATTGGTTGTTATCGCTAGCGAGGGTGGAGACGTGTTTGGGTACTCATTCGGTAAGAGGCGCGGCTGCTTCTCAGGCCTTCACGAGGGGGCCTCTATATTTTCAGCGACGAATTGGACACGGATAGACTACTTCCGTATATTTATTTTCGTCAACCACACACGCATCCTTCTCGCTCATACCACAGCTTTAAAAATGCAAAATATGAAGCCTCCTGTCATGTGATAAAATTGTAGATTATGCTAACGTAGTGTACCTATAATCTTAATTTTAATAATGACAGGAGGCGAATATTTTCCCTCCCTGTTTCCCTCCCTATACTCTGGAAATTTTTTATATTCTGGTTTGTCATTTTCTCTGTGTAAATTATAAGGTTTTGGTAATTCAGTATATTTATGGGATGCTTATTTGGTTGATATGTGTTAGATCCGTGTTGATTATTAAGTATACTATGGTTTGTTTAATGTTTCAGTATATTAACTTAATGTAAATATAGACACATATAGTACTGGATTTAATGTGGACAACAGTTGGTTTCCATCACCTTTCACGTATTTCTGTTCTTTTCAGAGTAATCATAGATGGATTCGACAAGATAAAGCTGGAAGGTTTCAAGTTTCGTTTCAAGTTATGTGCTACACGTTAATCAGGATTGTTATTTGAATTCCCTGACGTTATAATAGACTGTTTTTCGCATCAAAGAAAGAGGAAGTCATGTGTCTGTCAGGGCTTTATATATGGATGTGATGCCTATTACTGATTGGTTTAAAGTTTATTGATTGACTTGTGCTGCTGGAGGCATAAAGTAAAGAAAGTTATGCAAAATATTCGCCTCCTGTCATTATTAAAATTAAGATTATAGGTACACTACGTTAGCATAATCTACAATTATTTCTCTTGTTCCAAGGGTTTTTAGCCATGCCCCAAAACCTCTTACTCAGAGAGGCAGGAATCATAATGCCCGGATCTTAAACCCACTCATATCCGGACGTCAGCACACTATACAACGATGGATTTGGGGCCTTTCTCCCTGTGAACACGCACAAGGCAAAGGAAAACTGATCGACGCTTCAAATACCAGTAGCTCGTTCCCTGTTATTCCACTATCCAGTACCAGTAATAGTCTATTTCCTCCTTCTTGCCTGCTCCCTACTAGTAGCCCAGGCTCTTCATGTCTCCATTGAGAGTAACTGGCAATCCTCCCTTTACCTCAACCCTTTTCAGTTTGTTTGCCTTATCGGTGCAGTGAATAGCAGGCGAGGTTCAGATGCATCCCTCAATCAGCACGATTTGAGTCAAGCAGCCTATGGTTTGTCAATGTGCACACTGTGTGCATGCGTGGTGTCACCCTCAGAGCTTGCTACAGAGGAACGTTGCATTTAATGCTTCTCTATGAGAGACATTTGACTGGCATATTGCTATATGGACTTCCCATGGGAAGCATTGGATTGGACCATTGTCATGGCAGCATGACGTGAAAAGGGGCAGAGCAGAATGCTGTGAGGGGACTTATGCCGTTGAAACAGAGGTAAGTAAATGTTTAAAAGGTCTCTCTTTTGAGGGAACCTTTCGTGTGTAATATGCCCCATTGGGCACTACAGGAGGTCCCTCCCTGCCACCTGCAAATAAAGGATTTTTATTTAACTTGTATCCAGTGTCTGGCGAAGCTCTGAGCACTGATTTCCACACCCCCTCTGACATCACAGGGGCCTTGCGTAGTCCAATCACAGGATTCTCACAAAGAAGTCTGTGATTGGGACGTTTTGCCGGCTAAGAGTATATGCACGCACTAAGGGCTGGCGAGGGTTGAGAGGGTTTTTTGAAAAAAACAAAACATGGATAGATTTATTATATAAATAAATGATAATTTATACATCACCAGCGTGCAGTGTGCGTGGATGACAGACCCAACATATGCAGAGAACTGACATTGGCAGCTATAAATTCTGTCCAGTGCTGTCAATGTCATGTGTGCTGGGGTGCACCGTGCAACTAGCCCCATCACACAATTAAAAATGTCTCAGTATGTGCAGTGTTCCATGCAAAAACACTGCACATACTTACTCGTACTTCCATGACCACTTCAAATCACTAAAGTGGTCACGGTGTTTGGGGTAACGCTTTAAATTTACAAAAAATTATATAAAGCCGATTCAAGACAAAATAACACTGTTGACACAAATGAAAGATACTCTAAACACCAAAACAACTAACTTAATGAAGTGGTTTTGGTGTATAGATCATGCCCCTGCAGGGTTTCTCTCAGTTAAATGACTTTGGTTTCTGTTTATTTGACTCAATAAACACCTGCTCTGTCACACACGCCTTGCATGAAAAAAAACATTTTCAATCAGATCCAAGAGCACCTTACTTTAGAAGTTGTTAACTCTTGATCAGTGCTTCTGCCCAAGCAGAGGCATAATGGACTGCTGTGGAGATCTTTGTCCCAGCACCTCACATAGATGCTCTGGAAGGGCCCCCCACACCTTCCAATAACATGAGGGGGAAACAGCCCAACCGAAACTTGCCGGCACTCCGGTCCTCAATGTCTGCATCACAGTGGAGCCGCACCCTCTCGCAAAAGAGGGAAATCGAACAAAACTCTCACTCAACAGAGCAGTGGCGATGCCATGCCGAAGAAACTGACAGCTACCACAGGAGAATCGAAAACTAAACCGGACAGAGCGGCTAGTTCGATTAAGCAAGCCTCGCAACAGCAAATAACCACTCCTACTAATGAGAGGCAAAACTCAGTGCTGCCCCCACAAGGAAGTCCTCTGCTGAAAACCTAGGGTGGGAAGACCCGCAGATGAGAAAGCAGAGAGAGACTGGCAGGGCCCTCAAAAAAGGTATGAAGAGGCATCTCCCTCCTGCCACACAAAGTATCTACTCAGTTGTACTCTCCTCCATGGAGACAGCCCCTTAATTTGTTGTGTGTCCACTAGGGGGCAGTCTACTCCCATTAGATGACTCTTTACAGGAAGTGTTTATGGAACGCTGTGCAAGTCACATGCAGGGAGGTGTGACTAGGGTTCATAAACAAAGGGATTTAACTCCTAAATGGCAGTGAATAGAGCAGTGAGACTGCAGGGGCATGTTCTATACACCAAACTCAAGTGTGCAGAATTTTGCTAGCCCAGAACTGTATGGATTTATGCTTGGCATTGGAAGGTGACTCACAATCCATGCTCTTTGTGCTGGCCCACTGGGGTACTGAGTGTTCCAGGCTGTCAAACTATATTGAATATGTGTGATGTGGAAATGTTTGCAAGCTGCTACGAGCTGAGATAAGATATTTGTTAATGGAAGATTGTCCTCACAGTGATCCCAGAGTTCTGTGTTTTTCTTTAGTTCCTATACAATGCCCTCCAGTTCTAAAAGGACATTATCAATAACGTTAACATATAGAAACAGACAGGGTAAACACTCAGTCCCTCTGTGCAGGAAGATGATATTTGCTTAATTATTAAAGATTTATAAAGAAAGTATGATGAGCTAAAGGCCACCTACCTCTTAATTATGGAAAGCTCTGTGGGCATAAGGCAACTATTAAATATTAGGTCTGTCTTATCTCCATGTATTCCTGCTAATATAATAAAAGTAATAAATATGCTGCTTTTTTACAGCAATAAATAGAAGTTTAGACTCGATAAATGGACTGGAAACAAAGGAGTTAAAGCTCAGTACAATCTGTCCTTAGCTTTGTAAATAATTAAAACAGTGATCTGACAATTCTTGCACCCACGGTCATTTTGCACCGTTACTACTAGAATAAGTTATTCTGGGATTAGAGTTTGGAGTTTAAATCCATACATATTGCCCCGTTACATATTACCCTGTTTCTTTTAAACTGCAAGCTTGTTTTAACATAAACACTCCCCACCTCACCCATACAAATCTGTCCTTTGCAGTGTATTCTAAGGTTCAGATTTTCATACACGAAATACCCATTTTTACATTAGTACTAAATTGTGATATTAATAACAAAATACAGATAAAACCCTATGTTACCCCTGTTCCAGTGCTAGTTTTGGTTTTAACCTCTTCAGGACAAGGCTTAGGAAAATTCCTAGCTAGCGCAATAACCCAGACAGATTTTGGCAGTGAACAGGTTAAACGCTGTTAACGCAGTATTGCTATTAGATAACCTAAACAGAGCAAGTATTACGAAGATAGGAAACTTACTTTCCGACCACCAGACTGGCGTTTTCCAATACGGCCAATTGCTGCATTCCCTCCTGAAGCAGAAATTCCTCTTCTTTTCGACATACAACAACCATTTGCTCGGCATTTTCCAACAGCAGCTTAAACTTGCAGGACATTTTAGTAACTAGCGAGAGATTCGCACCAAGGCTTTTTTTTTGCCTCGTACTCAGGAGGGGAATCTGTTCGAGCAGAAAAAGAGCTATTTAGTAACAGCCAGACCGCAGTTTGTAACCTCCCCTGTGTTCCAAGGGTAGGGTGGCCTGGTTTCACAATTGTCCACTAGATTTCCCCATCCTTACCTTTACGTATCACATTACCTGCACAGTTTGTGAGTCTTAAAACATAACATTTTAAGACACCCGGTCTGTGAATTGTTAGAGACTGAGTTAGATTAGCTATTGCATTTTAACTCGGCCTTGGAAGAGCGCAAATAATAATGAGACGGTGATTCAGGGTCATAGGGAACACATGTTCACAAAATGCACATACTAGCAGAGTCATTTACTAAAATGAGTGAGTTTCAAATCTTAGGCCAAATGGCAGAACTAAAAACGTTGCTGAATTTTTTTCTACTGCAACTATTTTGCCCTAAAAATTTGCAGTTCACTTTGACAATTTACCCAATACAGAATTATTCTCAAAACGTCTCATAAATTGTCATAAATGCAAAGTAAATTAAAATTTTAAGGCCAAAGTAACAACCAAAATTTTTTTCTCAAATGGCTGGTTTGGCATTAAATTTGCAATTTACTCTGAATTCCCAACAATTCTCATTGCACAAGACTGCACAGGTAAATCTTGGATGGATTGATCCGTTCAGGCATAGAGTAAAAGGCATTTGATTGGTGTTGCACCAGTTGAAATGAAGTTTAGTGAAAAGCCCAGTGTGACTGGGATGATTACTATGAATACCAGGTTTAAACCGGTTTTCAGGGGCTTTCCTTGGGGCAGTTGTATTGAATTAACGACCTATTGTTCCTGGCAGTTGCTGAGTGGAATGAGACCAGATTTAAATCTACCTCTCTCATAGAGATAACAGAAACATCAAAGGAGCATAAAGCTAGTATCTGCACCTAAATTGAGGATTTCCTTCCAATCTGGATTTCAAGTGATACAATAAACAAGTGCGTTAAAGCGGTTTAATCTCTAATGTGTAGGTGAACAATTCATGGGACTCTGGTTGTTATAGTACAACGTCCATACTCTGGATTCAAGGCTTGCTGACAATAATGGGATTTGTATTTCGCACACAGATTATTTAATCTGTGTGTGACAAGTGCTTTGGAAATTCAGGCAAAAAGCACATTTTTTTAATACATTTATTTTTTCCGATTGCTTTACATGTATCTACAGTTTATTTCTTATTATTTTTTTTTTAGCCATACACTATTTCTTTACTGAGAAATAACTGTACCATATTTTATATTATGGATACATTTTGGTAAATTTTGGATTGGTCAAATATTACAAGGGTTTATTCACTAAGTAGTAAGTTACAGTAAAATGAATTGCAAAGCATAAGGCAAAAAGTGCTGATTTCGAAAATGTCTCCACTTCGCTACAGACAAAGCCTTACAGTCACAGGGATTTTAGCCTTAAAGGGACTCTATGGTCACCAGAAAAACTACAGCTTAATGTAGATGTTCTGGTGAGTATAGTATGCCCCTGCAGGCATTTTAATGCAAACACAGCCTTTTTAGAGAAAATATAGTGTTTACATTGCTCATTAGGGACACCTCTAGGGGCAGTCAATCAGACGGCCCCAAGAGGGGCTTCCTGTGTCAGTGCTGCAGAATGTGTTGCACTAGCGTTCAGAGCTCCACACTCTGCATGGTGACACTGAATAGTCCTCCTCACTACATCTTATGAGGAGATGCTGGTTGACACAGGGCATCATTTTCCTGCGCATGCTAAACAGCCTCCCAATGCTTTCAAATGGGAAAGCATTGGATTGGCTGAGATCGTCAATTCTGATGGGACAGAGTGTGGAAATAAAGGCAAGTTTTTTTTACTTATTTAACAGAGGCAAGGTGGGCTGGGGACCTAATTTAGTTTTTTGTGTTTTTAACACTGTAGTGTTCTCTTCCCTATAATTTGTTTTTTAGTGAACATTCTCATCAGCAATATATTATAAATTAGCTGGGAAATGATTGGCTGGAAACTCAAATCTCAGCCAATCACAAAAGGGAAAGTAAGTTTTGTAATGTAGACTCTGGCTTTAAACTCATGCAGGACTGCTGGTATTCACTAAACTGTAAATTTTTCTGAAGTGACAACGACATATTCCATTTAAGGCATAAAAATAATAATAATAAAATAATAGAGCCCGGTTACAGGGGGTAACACATTACAGTGGGCCTGTGAATTTGCAGAGTATTAATAAGGTGCTTGTCTTTGAGATGAAATACAATATAATTCTCACCTTGTGGTTTTACAAAAACTTGGGGGTACTGTACCTTTAGCCTTCTTGAGCAATTACGGGAATGTCAATCTGAATTATTAAAGGAATATGCATCACTTTGAGACGACTGTCCCATCCATAATCTTTAGCTTTGAATGCGACAGCTGGCTCACAAAAGCAGTTAAATACTTTTTTCTCATATTTACCACATTCTTATTTATGTTTTTCACACCCACTCCATGGGATACATTACATTGATCTCAAAAATCAGTGTGCTATCCCTAGGAATGCTGGGAAGATTTGTGGGTATGCCTGACAGTCACATGTGCTGTTGAAAGATCTGCAGGACAAGCCCTAGTGGCGGGTTTCTCTCTCCTGTTGCTTCTCAATTATACCCAGTTTCAGTCATTAGTGGACAGGTCTGACACTGAGATGGGTGGGTAGGCTGAAGAAATTATCCTCACTGAGTGGCCTGACCAACAAAAAATATTTTCAAGTGATGCATGTCCCTTTAAATAATATGCCCAACTTGTAAACGAGAAGCAATGTGAAGATGCTGCTCTGATGTGTGAGGGTAGGACTGGTATGAGGGTCTTCCAGATCCCAGCTTGAAGAAACCCCAATGTACATTTTTTAAAGTGTGGTTTTATTTCTTTAATTCTGCTTCAAATTCCACAGATGTCTGCAGATAGGAGTTCCATTTTTTCCCCAAATCCCTTTGCTTGTCCAGATTTTGAGGATTTATTTACCTACTGGAGCAAACACCTAACAGAGAAACAAGAGGTTTGTTTTAACATTATTGTTATCAAATTTTATATTGTGCAATCATATTTCACATAACTTTACCATTAAAGAAGAGGTGAAGAAGGCCCTGCTCAAACAAGCGTACAGCCTACGAGGATCTGAGTTAGGTGGAGATATATCATTAGGAGTCTTGCCAGTAAGGACACTTATCAGTAAAGGGACTGACCAGGATCTGAACCTGGGTTTCCCGGTTCTACAAAAGCAATGCCCCCACTGCTCTAACAGCAATTTGCACTATAAAGTATGTTTTCAGGAATACATAAACATATTGATGGACAACACGTTAAAAGGGTTGCCCTGTAGACTGTAAAATTCAGAAGAAGGTGTATAAAATTAAAGGAGCACTATAGTGCCAGGAAAACAAACTCGTTTTCCTGGCACTTTGGGTCAATAGGTCCCCCCTTCAGCCACTTACCTTTCTCCAGCGCCAGGCTCACTCTGTGCTGGGGAACTCTCCTCCCTCTGCCGACGTCCGCTCCGAATGCGCATGCGCGGCAAGAGCCGCGCGCGCATTCAAACTGCCTATAGGAAAGCATTACTCAATGCTTTCCTGTGGACGTCCAGCTTCTTCTCACTGTGATTTTCACAGTGAGAAGCGAGGAAGCGACTCTAGCGGCTGTCAGTGAGACAGCCACTGGAGGCTGGATTAACCCTCAGTGAAACATAGCAGTTTCAGCTGCAGGGTTAAAACTAGAGGGACCTGGCACCAAGACCACTTCATTGAGCTGAAGTAGTCTTGGTGCCTATTGTGGTCCTTTAAGTAATTAGGCAATGAAGAATCCTGCAGTAAAAAAAAAAAATTTGAATATTAACCTTAAAATATGTTAGTTAAAGTCACTGGGCTTAAAGAGGAAGCATAACGTCACAGGAATTTTAGTATTACTTTAAAGGGTTACTCCAAACACCATAACCACTACAGCCCTATAATTATGGACTGAGAATGCAGAAGCGTGAAAGATTTTTTTTGTTTTTGTTTGTAGCTCCCAGTGTTATTTCACACATGCCTTCTATGAGTGCCAGTAAAGTTGTTTTTTTTTTCCACCCTATTTTACGGTGAACGCTATTGTGGCGTGCTTTCGCATGCATTCTTAGTTTATATAGAAGCCAGTTTATGGGCTTTACACTGGAAAATCAGTGATGCTAGATTTGTTACGATATTTTTGCAAACTGCAAGTTAAAATGGTAAATACCATGGATCTTTTTTGAGACATACATGAATAAGTTAATTCCCCCTTACGATGGTTTTCTCACACACTAGTAAATAATGCGGATAAGCCCTAATTCTTGTCCCTCTAATGGAGCCAACCAACCTACAAAGACTAATTCAACCCTCTATATCTCAATGTGCTATTAATAATGAATAAGGCGTTCTATAAATGTATGTGTGTGTATATGATTTTCTTGTCTTAACACAACTTTTTATATGAAATTGTGTGTTCAGAGTAAACTCTTAAACAAGGGGCGTAAGGTTCACGAGAAGACAACCGCTGCTTCCAGAATAAGATCCCTCTCGTCTTCTCACAAAAAATCACTTTTGGAACTTAATAAATTCATCACCAAAGCAGGAGAGACAACACCAGCATCTGTCAAATACAACCCAAAAAGTATACCGGCTGCTACCAGAAGTGAGTTTTTTTTTCCTCTTTTTTTTGGGGGGGGGAGGGGGAAGGATTTTGATGCATTCTATGCTTGTTCTATGCTTTCAAAGTGATTACTCTGTGTGCGATCCTCAGCAAAACGTGCATTCTTTGTTTTATGGGGAACCAAAATTGCTGTGTGACAGCCATACCCATGTATAAATAAAGTGCTGGGTGCTATTTGTTTGCAACATTTGTACTTTGTACTTAAAGTACTGCAACTCCATTTCCTCTCCAATTTCCTTTGGCACCTATAGTAAATAGCGCCCTCTGCTGCCCATTTAGTATTGCACATGGTCTAGATATGAGCAAGGTGCCCCAGACACATTGTAATTCAGGGCCAGCATGTCCTCCGTGCGCCTTATTTCTATCTCTGTGAGCACTTTTGGATGAGTTTCTTATGTTTTATAAAGAAACGCATAGTTTCACATCTGCCAAATTATTGCTGGAGGCTGGTCTGCATTTTTCTGGGGACCGAGAATCTCTACCAATAGAGATTTAGTAGTGATAGTTATAATACCTAGAGCAGGCATAGGCAGCCTTCGGCACTCCAGATGTTTTGGACTATACCTCCCATGATGCTTTGGCAGCATTATCGGTGTAAGAGCATTATGGGGGATGAAGTCCACAACATCTAGAGTGCAGAAGGTTGCCTACTCCTGACATAGTGTAGAATGTCCCTTTATGTCATTTTAAAATTATGTCATTTGAGACTTAAAAATCAATAGTCTGAAGTCTAATATTAAGTCCTCCTTGACCTTGTCACCAAGGATTCCCTGAACTAGACCCCTGGTATACACCATCCCAATACCTGCCAACATTTCAAATGAACAAAAAGGGGCTGGGTGGGGGCTGTTCTGAGAAATTTGTAGGTGACGTACTATAACACACTAAGCAACTAAAACATTTTTTAGAACAGGAACAATGTATCATATTTACACACTGATTTCAAAACACATTTATTGTAGTTTAAAGACACATTACTGTGAGTGTTATTGCTGTGGAGCTCTGTTATGCACTCAGACACACAAACAATATGGAGTGCCTACAAAAGAGGGACATTAGGATAAAAACAGGGACAGATGGATTTGAACCCATAATTCAAGACTGTCCCTCCTAAATAGGGACACTTGGGAGGTATATAATTATATATCTTACAATGTTATGTTGGTAATTTGAATAAATTACCCCACCGATAATACAGCAAACCTATTAAGATACCAAGAACCACCTCTCTTTTATTTCCGCTGTCTCTGGCATTCCCCAGTTACAGTTGCAGATGGATATACATACATAGACCGTCAAGCTTGATAGACCAGCAGCATCATATGATCCAAAGTTCTAATTTCTGGAATTGTTTTCGTAGGACCCAGAGCAGAAAGGGAGGCGCTGAGAGCATATGAGTCTCAGAAGCAGGAAATTGACAGGATTCAGGTATTTTACCACATTAATTACAATCTGCCTTAATTGGGTTACAACGGACTAACACTGAGTTGTGCAGATATGATGCAGAGTATATGCTCTATTTTACTAGTATAATTTATATACAATGTGATTTCAATATATAGCACTGTAACTCAGAGAAGCCACGGCATGCTGAATGACATTCTATCACTTGTGATTCATAGGAAAGTACTTGAGATTTAAAATGTTTACGAAATATGCATTACAGTGCCCCATAATACAATATAACACGTGTGATGGATGGGACCTGTGTAACCAGTGATATTTTGTCTCTGGTGATTATAATGGCAATCTTCCATGGGCTGTACTACGAACATTTGCAATTTAGTTACCATGGTTATCTGTAGCAATAGAATAATAGATAGAGAATTATTATTATTATAGCGCAAAAGTCTATTTTCTGTAGTCGTAATAGGGCAGTTTAAGCACCATAAACCCTACTTGCTGTCATAGTGATTGTGGTGCTCTGTCTGTGTATTGCTCTGTCTTTAACAATATAATTTGTCCATATAGAGTATCTCACAAAAGTGAGTACACCCCTCACATTTTTGTAAATATTTTATTATATCTTTTCACTGAGGAAATGACACTCCGCTACAATGTAAAGTAGTAAGTGTACAGCCTGTACAACAGTGTAAAGTTGCTGTCCCCTCAAAATAACTCAACACACAGCCATTAATATATAAACCGTTGGCAACAAAAGTGAGTACACCCCTAAGTGGAAATGTCTAAATTGGGCCCAAAGTGTCAATATTTTTTGTGGCCACCATTATTTTCCAGCACTGCCTTAGCCCTCATGGGCATGGAGTTCACCAGAGCTTCACAGGTTGCCACTGGAGTCCTCTTCCACTCCTCCATGTCGACATCACAGAGCTGGTGGATGTTAGAGACCTTGCTCTCCCCCACCTTCCATTTGAGTATGCCCCACAGATGCTCAATACGGTTTAGGTCTGGAGACATGCTTGGCCAGTCCATCACCTTTACCTTCAGCATTTGTAGCAAGGCAGTGGCCGTCTTGGAGGTGTGTTTGAGGTCGTTATCATGTTGGAATACTTCCCTGTGGCCCAGTCTGCGAAGGGAGGGGATCATGCCCTGCTTCAGTAGGTCACAGTACATGTTGGCATTCGTGGTTCCCTCAATGAACTGTAGCTCCCCAGTGCCGGCAGCACTCATGCAGGCCCAGACCATCACACTCCTACCACCATGCTTGACTATAGGCAAGACACACTTGTCTTTGTACTCCTCACTTGGTTGCAGCCACACACGCTTGTCACCATCTGAACCAAATAAGTTTATCTTGGTCTCATCAGACCACAGGACATGGTTCCAGTAATCCATGTCCTTAGTCGGCTTGTCTTCAGCAAACTGTTTGTGGGCTTTCTTGTGCATCATCTTTAGAAGAGGCTTCCTTCTGGGACGATAGCCATGCAGACCAATTTGATGCAGTGTGCAGCGTATGGTTTGAGCACTGACAGGCTGACCCCCCTTCAACCTCTGCAGCAATGCTGGCAGCACTCATATGTCCATTTTCCAAAGACAACTTCTGGATATGACGCTGAGCACGTGCACTCAACTTCTTTGGTCGACCATGGCGAGGCCTGTACTGAGTGGAACCTGTCCTGTGAAACTGCTGTATGGTTTTGCCCACCGTGCTGCAGCTCAGTTTCAGGGTCTTGGCAATCTTCTTAGAGCCTAGGCCATCTTTATGTAGAGCTACAATTCTTTCTTTCAGATCCTCCGAGAGTTCTTTGCCATGAGGTGCCATGTTGAACTTCCAGTGACCAGTATGAGAGAGTGTGAGAGCGATAACACCAAATTTAAATTTTATTCACACCTGAGTCCTTGAAACACTAACGAGTCACATGACACCGGGGATGGAAAATGGCTAATTGGGCCCAATTTGGACGTTTCCACTCTGCATGTTAAGTCTTGTTCTTTTCTCCTGCCTGGCTTCTGCCGTTCCTAGAATCTAGGATTGCTGTATTCCACCCCCACAAACTAAGCACAGTGATCTCTCTTTAAGGAGAGGGGAAAGGACTGGGACTAAAATGGCCGTTTCAGAAATGACCGGTACACACACATGACTACCCCCATTGCTGCCCACACTGTTACACACACACATACTGCTACCAAACTGTAAACACACAACTACAACCACTGCTGAATCTATCACTACTAATTAACCAATAAAAATTAAACAAAAAGGAAACCATGGAGGAAGGGAATGGGAGCACCACTCTCTTAATATACTCATATTCCCTATATATTGAGTGCTTTGTCTATTACTTATTAGGCATGTGCATGGGAATATTTTTCGGTTCGGCATTCCGAAATTCGGCACTTCGGCAACTTCGGCACTTCAGAACTTCAACACTTCGGAACTTCAGTAATTTTGGAACTTCTGGACTTCGGAATATCAGAACTTCTCTTGCAGCCGCTTGGTAGATAACTCCCTAATTCCCACCTAATTAGGGAGTTATCTACCAAAAGGCTGAAAGATATAAATTGGTCTTTCAGCCAAATTTACTAATACTAAGTAAAAATTACTTAGTATTAGTAAATTGTGCCCCTACTCGCTATACTGCAAGTAGGGGCATGTCTATTAAACAGTGAGCAGCCAGTGGCTGCTCTGTTAAAAAATAAAAAATAAAATAAAAAATAGGACCTCCTTCCGAGCCCCCACTCGCGACGTGCAAGTGGGGGCTTTTAAACTAAAGGGGGGCCTATTGCCCCCCTGGTCCCCACCTCTGAGCGGCAGGTGGGGGCCCTAAAGTAAAATAATGGGGGGGACCTATTGTCCTCCCCCCCGGCCCCCACCCCTGAGCGGTGGGTGGAGGCCCTAATGTCCTCCCCCTGACCCTCACCCCTGAGCGGTGGGTGGGTGCCTTAAAAACTAATCGGGGGGGGACCTAATGTCCTCTCCCCTGGCCCCCACCCCTGAGTGGTGGGTGGGGGCCCTAAATTAGAATGAGGGGGGGACCTAATGTCCTCCCCCTGGCCCCCACCCCTGAGCGGTGGGTGTGGACCCTAAATTAGAATGAAGGTAGAGGACCTAATGTCCTCCCCCCTGTCCCCTACCCCCAGCGGTGGGTGGGGGACCTAAATACTAATTGGGGGGGACCTAACGTCCTCCCCCTAGCCCCCACCCATAAGCGGCGGGTGGGGGCCCAAAATAAAAAAATTAACCCTCCCCCGGGTGATTAGGGGTCCCCAAACCCCTAGTCAACCCCCTCCCCCAAAACATTAACCCCTACCTACCCCCCTCATCCTAAAAATAATGAGGGGGGACCATTTAACTAAGTACCTTAAAAAAGAAAAATAAAACTTACCATTTGATGTTTTCTTTCTTCTAAAATCTTATTTTTTAAGCCCCAAAAAAGGCCAAATAAAAAGTCATAATAACTGACGCACTTAAAAAAAAAAAAAAAAAAGACGAGCGCAAAAAAAATCAATCTTCAACCGGCGAGGGCTCCGCGCACACTGAGCTCTGCCGGGCGGGGGAAGGCTTATAAAGCCTTGCCCCGCCCTGCAATTAGGCTCAGAGCACTATGATTGGTGGGTTAAAGCCATCCAATCAGAGTGCTCTGACAGGTAAATGAAGAGACTGACAGGTAAGTCTCTACATTTACCTGTCACAGCACTCTGATTGGTTGGTTTGAAATCCACCAATCAGAGTGCTCTGTGTCATTTTACACAGCGTGGGAAAGTTCTTTGGAATTTTCTCATGCTGTGTTATTGACTCATAACTCTCTGGTGGATTTCAAACCAACCAATCAGAGTGCTGTGACAGGTAAATGTACAGACTTAACTGTCAGTCTCTTCATTTACCTGTCAGAGCACTCTGATTGGATGGCTTAAACCCACCAATCATAGTGCTCTGAGCCTAATTGCAGGGCGGGGCAAGGCTTTATAAGCCTTCACCCACCCTGCAGAGCTCAGTCTGCGCGGAGCCTTCGCCTGGTGAAGATGGATTTAAAAAAAAAAAATTGCGCTCCTGTGTTTGTTTGTTTTTTTTTTTTGTTTTGTTTTTAGTGCGTCGGTTATTATGGCTTTTTATTTGGCCTTTTTTGGGGCTGAAAAAAGAAGATTTTAGAAGAAAGAAAACATCAAATGGTAAGTTTTATTTTATTTCAGGTACCCCTTCATTATTTTTAGGGTGAGGTGGTAGGTAGGGGTTAGTTTTTTTGGGGAGGGGGGTGACTAGGGGGTATTTTTTTTTTCATTTATGGCCCCCACCCGCTGCTCAGGGGTGGGGGCCAGGGGGGAGGACATTAGGTCCCCCCTAATTAGTATTTTAGGGCCCCCACCCACCGCTCAGGGGTGGGGGCCAGGAGGGAGGACGACGTTAGGTCCTCACCCCTCATTCTAATTTAGGGCCCCCACCCACCGCTCATGGGAGAGGAAATTAGGTCCCCCCCAATTAGTATTTAGGGCCCCACCCACCGCTCAGGGGTGGGGGCCGGGGGAGGACATTAGGTCCCTCCCCTAATTAGTATTTAGGGCCCCCACCCACCGCTCAGGGGTGAGGGCCAGGGGGGAGGACATTAGATCCCCCCATTCTAATTTAGGGCCCCCACCCGCCGCTCAGGGGTGGGGTCTGGGGGGAGTACAATAGCTCCCCCCCATTACTTTACTTTAAGGCCCCCACCCGCCGCTCAGGGGTGGGGGCCGGGGGGGGGGGCAATAGGTTAGGAGGGGGAGGAGGACAGTTGCTCACTGTTTAATAGACATGCCCTACTCATGGTATAGCGAGTAGGGACATAATTTACTAATACTAAGTAATCTTTACTTAGTATTAGTAAATTTGTCTGAAAGACCAATTTAGGTCTTTCAGCCTTTTAGTAGATAACTCCCTAATTCCCACGGTATTAGGGCGCTATCTACTTATCTTCTTCATTCCTGTCATTACACTGACTGGCTAAGTAACTTACATTTTATATGAATGTGTGTTACTTGATTGTTGTAAGTGTTGCAAATACTTACAACTGAATCCTGGCTATGTTTGTATACTTTTTATTTAAAATTGTATACAGTGTAACATTCTTCCGCTTCCATTGGGTAAATATATTAGTACTTAGGCAATACTGTACTTAGGATACTTCGGCACTTCGACAATTCGGAAATTCGGTAATTTCGGAACTTCGGGACCTTGGTAATTCGGCACTTCGGCTATTCGGAAGTACCCGAATGTCCGAATTGCCCGAAATTTGTCTGAATTCATATTCGGCTCGAAACGAATTGCACATGTCTATTAATTATGACTAGCCTTAGAATATACTAATATAGACTGTCTGCCATAGGGATCAACCCCAGGAAAATTTTCTCCGTTATCTTATACATATATATTTAAACAGTGTATAAAGATAAGAAGAGAGCAAATATATATCAATCGCAGGAATATTTTCATAGATAATACATACTACTATACCCCCCCGACATCTATACACTGTTACACACACACACCACACTATATACCACACCACCCCTGCCACCCTCCCCTACCCCTACCCCCCCCGTGAAAAAAATTCTTTATTGTGTAACGTTTTGATTTTTTGTTCAAAACATACACAAAATACTAAGGGATTTGGCCTATGTGTTATATCATCAATTTCCTATTTCTAGTCAACCAGGTATACAAAATATATATACATGTCAATGGGAATATACTTCAAATATATTTTTCTCCTATAATAATTGTGCCACAAATATCTTTAACAAACACACACACTTGCATTGTGTGTGTGTGTGTGTGTATATATACAATTCATATCATATTAAAACAGTGAAGTGTCTTTTTAATAGTGCATTATGGACAAAAATTATTAACGTGCACATCTTGATATCCTAGTTTGTGAAACAAGATGAGATTAGAGATTTGGAAAAAACCTTGATGTATGAAAAAAGGGAATTGAAAAATGCCATAAAAAATCTTGAAGAGGAAACCGCGGCTTTTGAAGATTTTCTGAAAGAAAAGGAAAAAGCTGCATTGGATGCCGAAAAAACGTAAACCCCTGTTTATTGTTTGAGATTTTCAGCACATATCTAAAAGCTCATTTCTCCTAATTTTATCTGTTTGTTTTTAGCGTAAATCAAGCGACTAAAGCAAAGCTTGATAAAAAGGCAGAAATACGGAAAACTACAGAGGAGTTAATGGCAATTAAGAGGTAAAGATTAAATTCTATTTTATTTCTATAGTGACTGATGTAATGAAAATCAAATTGCAAACGCGATGACCATTAAAACGGGAAAACTGCAGTTCATTTGTTTTATGTTAGATTTAAAGGGGAAAACTGCAGTTCATTTGTTTTATGTTAGATACACTTTGAATTGATTATATTGTCAAACAGAAGTCAAATAAGGAAGAATGAAAAAAAAAAAAAGTTCTGAGTAAGGGTTTAAATGCTCAAAATGCATCAGACTTAAGGTGCAATGAGGTCTTTTGTCCCGTAGACATGCCGACTGTCTGCTGCCATCTTTATGGCTGTGAGAAGGGACTTTAACTTAAAAATGACTAACGCAGTGGGTTGGTTGATTTAACTAGAGGGCTGCGATCTCTTCTATGCATTGAAAAATTTGATTTTAACCCCTTAAGGACACATGACGTGTGACATGTCATAATTCCCTTTTATTCCAGAAGTTTGGTCCTTAAGGGGTTAAAGGAACATTGCAAGCATCATAACCACTACAGCACATTGTAGTGGTTCAAGGGAAAAAGAAAGAAAAGGAGGGGGGTGCTAGAAAAGTAATATCACAATATTATACTTATATCTGTACATCAGTTATTCAATCAGTAGCTTACTGGATCAATCTAAAAAAAATAAACAAAATGTACATAGCATAATACTGTATAGAGAGACTGTATATCAACAGTATTTGGTATTGAGTCACTCACGATCTGTAGAGCCTTAAATAGCAAGCTCTGACTGTATTTGCTCCTCAAATGATGTCAGCCAGACTGCTTCATCCAGCGAAGTCAGCTTCTAATTCCTCTAAATACTCTTCCAATCACACCACAACTCGGGTAGCCAAGTGGGTAAATATATGAAGAGATTTATTACAATATAGATACAATTAAAACAAAGAATAAAAAACATACAGGGCACAACGTGTTTCGACTTTCGTCTTCTTCCAAGGTGCATATGATACAACCGATCACAGTCTCATTAAATAGGTCCGGTAAACTCCGAAATTCCCGGGTAAAATTTGATCGACTTCCGTGTTGTGACGTCACTTCCGTGTTGTGACGTCACTTCCGGGTTCCGTCGGCGTCACTTGCGTCAATAACGTCATCACGGATTGGTTTATAATTTACTCTTCAACCCGGATGTTGTTGTGTTTAGACGCCATCTTTGAAGGTGGCATCTTATCTTTATAAGTCCGCTTATTTATAGAAAAAAATTAACCGATACCAGGTCACATCAGTCCACATTTTCACAATAAATAAAATACAATCAACAGTAAGATGTATTATTTTATATTTTATACATCCATACATCTAATTTTAAAAATCTATAAGTTATTTGATTTACAGCATAAGGAGAAAACATTCTTTGGGAGAAAAAACACCCATTAAAAATAAAAGTTCATATTAAGGATACTTCAGAAATCCATATGAAGAATATATAAAAAGTATATGAACAATATGCAGTCTATATAAAAGTATAAAGAATATATATTTAATATAGAAATAATAAAAAAAAGCCAAAAATTGATAATATAAAAATACATATGGGAAAACTCATAAAAAATATAATTATTATTATTATTATTATTATTATTATTATTGCCATTTATATAGCGCCAACAGATTCCGTAGCGCTTTACAATATTATAATTAATATATATTTATACCTATATAATAACAATAAATATAAAAATATAAATAAGTATAAAAAAGTATTAACATTCTTCCACTATAAAAAATTTACTATTATAAAAATTATTTTAAAAAGTATTTAAAAAATATATTAGAGAAAATATATTATATCAGGGCTGCCATCTCAAAATCCACGTTGAGTCCGCCCGGAGCCAGGGTTTCTAAATCAAAAATCCACCTCATCTCACAGCGACTCAAAGTGGACTCGATCTGGCCTCCTCTCCAAATAGGTTTAATAGTCTGAATTCCATAAAAAGTAAGCCCAGTGGGATTCCCACCATGGGCATTAAAAAAGTGTAGGGAGACATTATGTTTCAAAAAACCTCTCCTTATGTTGTAGATATGTTCACGTATCCTTGTTTTTAGGTTTCTTGATTTTTTCCCCGCATATTGGAGTCCACAAGGACACGTGAGCAGATACACCACATTTTTAGTGTGACAGGTTCCACTCATTGGAATTTAGAAAATTAAAAAATTCTAAAAAAGGAGAATGGTCTCCCCTCCAGATCATAAAAATGTCATCTATGTAACGTCTATATAGGACCAGATTCGTACTCCAGGCATGCTGGGAGTAAACAAAATGATTCTTCCAATAAGCCATAAATAAATTTGCATAACTGGGTGCGAATCTGGTCCCCATAGCCGTCCCCCGACGTTGTAAATAGTAGTCTCCTTCGAACCAAAAAAAAATATTTAGAAGAATTAGGGAAATTCCCTCCATTACAAAGTCAATTTGTTCCTTAGGATACAGGCCACATACTTCCAAAAATGAATGATTGGCTCTGCATCCTATGTCGTGGTCAATACAAGTGTATAGACTAGTAATGTCACACGTAATAAATGAGAAATCACTTTCCCATCAAAAATCTTTCAATATTTGTAATAAACTCATAGAGTCCTTTAAATATGAAGGGTTTTCTTTTACTAGCGGTTGAAGAAGAATATCTATATATTTAGATAAATTGGAGAGGAGTGATCCCACTCCGGAGACTATAGGTCTCCCTGGGGGATTACTAATATCTTTGTGGAATTTTGGTAGTACGTAGATCACTGGAATTTTTGAAGACCTAATATTTAGATAATCATACTCCTTTTTATTTAGGATTCCCTTCAGAAGGCCTTTATCTAAATAATCTACAAAAAACTTTTGGATGTCTTGTTGTGGATTTTTATTTAGTCTTACATAAGTGTCCTTATCATCTAATTGTCGATTGATTTCTAAAATATATTTCTCCTCCCCCCTTATCTGCAGGTTTTATCACTATCTCTGCATCTTTTTTTTAAATTCTGTATTGCCAATAATTCTGATTTGGTAAGATTATTCTTTTTGTTAATCTTTATCTTCTTTATGTCTTTGATACATGCCTTTTCAAAGACTTTCATAGAGTTAGATTTTAGGTGGAAGGATAAAAGGAGGAAGGGGCCTTTAGTTCTGTGTGTACAAATTGCTCTGTGTCTCTTTTGTTTAAATTTCCTATATTAGGTTTTTTATCAAAAAAATATTTTATACACAACTTTCTCATGAACCGATTAATATCTGTATAAGCATCGAATTGGTCAATATTACAACTCGGAACAAATTTAAAACCTTTCCCTAAAATTTTTATCTGATCATTGTTTAAAACTTTTTTAGAGAGGTTAAAAATCTTTATCTCCTCATTATTTTCCCTCTTGGGTCTCTCCAGTCTCTTTCCTCCCCTATTTCCCCTTCTTCTAAATCCCTGTATCTCCTTTTCACAGGGACCGGAGTTTTCTCAAGGGGTTCGTCCCAACGTTTCTCTAAAAAAGGGATACTCCTCTTTTTTTCTATTTCGTTCAGGGGTTCAAACTGGTTTGATGTGGAAATCTCTCTCCTATATCTTGGGGAAAATCTTTGACTATGTTCGGGATATTTTTTCTCACAATTATATTGATTTCCTTTTTTATAATCGTGATTTTTAGAGACTGTTTGGGTGTTATGGCTATGAGAATCGTAGTAATTATTTGTTCCTACCCTTCGTTTGTGACTTTTAACTTCTGTCCACTCTGACACAGAATTATGTGTCCTTGGTGGTCTGTTTGGAATTTGATTGGGAACATAATTATTCGTAAAGTGTTTCTTTTCATTTCGCTGGTTTCTATCTCTAGGTATAAATTTCCCTTGATTGAAATTATCTCTCGGTTTCTTTCTAACATTATTGGTAGCGTAATCATTAATATCCCGTTGATATTTTCTCTTTTTATTAGTAATAATAATGGACTCCAATTTATCTAATTTTCCAATAATTGGATCAGAAATCAATTCAAAATCCCTAGTTCCAATATAGGGTTCTAATTTGACACGAATTTCTTTAATAATCTTATCTAAGACTTCTAAATTCCTTTTCCTTTGTTCGACTATAATCTGCATCATGGTTATCGAGAAGGACTCCAAAGCCTTTTCCCATATATCCATGAATCTTTTATCATCTCGTTCGAACGTGGGATATTTAGTGAAACGGAGTCCTCTAGGGGTTATTTGGTCACTTAAATACTTTTCCATCGTGAATACTTCCCACTTAATTTTTAGTTCTTTAGTTAACAATTTTTCCAGTAGTATACTCATTTCTTTCAGATTATCAGTAATTTTATATTTTTCTGGAGTTTCAACCTCTATTTCTTGTAAAATTTAATCTGTCCATCTTTGCATTATAATCTAGCAGCTCACACCCTGGTGATTTCTTCAATAACAATAAATAAACTAAATATATTTCCTGTTACGGAAATATATACGGGTGGATTGGCGCTATTAGTGAAAATGACAATGAGAACAGCAACTACCCCCAAGTGCCAAGTAAATCACCAAAGGCACTACACAAGTACAACAAGTGAAAAAGATAGAAAAGGAGGGGAGTGCTAGAAAAGTAATATCACAATATTATACTTATATCTGACATCAGTTATTCAATCAGTAGCTTACTGGATCAATCTAAAAAAAATAAACAAAATGTACATAGCATAATACTGTATAGAAAGACTGTATATCAACAGTATTTGGTATTGGGTCACTCACGATCTGAGTAAATAGCAGGCTCTGACCGTATTTGCTCCTCAAATGATGTCAGGCAGACTGCTTAATCCAGCGAAGTCAGCTTCTAATTCCTCCAAATACTCTTCCAATCACACCACAACTCGGGTAGCCAAGTGGGTAAATATATGAAGAGATTTATTACAATATAGATACAATTAAAACAAAAGAGCCAATCATTCATTTTTGGAAGTATCTGGCCTGTATACTAAGGAACAAATTGACTTTGTAATGGAGGGAATTTCCCTAATTCTTCGAAATAATTTTTTTTGGTTCGAAGGAGACTACTATTTACAACGTCGGGGGACGGCTATGGGGACCAGATTCGCACCGAGTTATGCAAATTTATTTATGGCTTATTGGAAGAATCATTTTGTTTACTCCCAGCATGCCTGGAGTGCGAATCTGGTCCTATATAGACGTTACATAGATGACATTTTTATGATCTGGAGGGGAGACCATTCTACTTTTTTAGAATTTTTTAATTTTCTAAATTCCAATGAGTGGAATGTTACGTTGACTCGGGAATATAGCCAACAAAAAATCCACTTTTTGGATCTAGAAATTTCCACCAAAGGAAACGCCATTAATATATGCACTTTCTTCAAACCAGTGGATGTTAATGGATACATCCACAAAGAGAGTTGCCATTTCCAACCATGGCTAGCCAATATACCAAAAGGCCAGTTTCTACGCATGAGACGAAACTGTACAGAAGTAGAAGTTTTTGATTCTCAAACTCAATTTTTGAAAGAGAAATTTGTAAATAGAGGATATTGTGGCAATTTTTTAGACCAGGAGATAAAACATGTTAGAGATATGGAAAGGGATGCCCTATTAAAATATAAACCAAAAATTTAATTGGAGGAGAAAAATGACAAAATACCTATTATTTTTTAATTATAATCAAGAACATGGGAAACTCAAAAGAATTTTTAATAAACATTGGCACATCCTACAACAGGATGAAGATATTTTACCATATCTTAACGATAGACCTAGGTTAATTTTTAGAGGAGCTAGTAATTTAAAACAGAAATTAACCTCTAGTTATTTAGAACTATCTAAACCTAAAGAAAATGTTCTAACCAGTAATAAAGCCCTACAAAAAGGATTCCATTATTGTGGGGAATGTATGGGTTGCAGGAATTTCAAAAAGAAACCAAAACGAATAGATGCTTTTAAATCTAGGATTGGCTCTGTTAATTTTAAGATTAATTCGTTTATTACCTGTCACACTTAAAATGTGGTGTATCTGCTCACGTGTCCTTGTGGACTCCAATATGTGGGGAAAACATCAAGAAACCTAAAAACAAGGATACGTGAACATATCTACAACATAAGGAGAGGTTTTTTGAAACATAATGTCTCCCTACACTTTTTTAATGCCCATGGTGGGAATCCCACTGGGCTTACTTTTTATGGAATTCAGACTATTAAACCTCATTGGAGAGGAGGCCAGATCGAGTCCACTTTGAGTCGCTGTGAGATGAGGTGGATTTTTGATTTAGAAACCCTGACTCCGGGCGGACTCAACGTGGATTTTGAGATGGCAGCCCTGATATAATATATTTTCTCTAATATATTTTTTAAATACTTTTTAAAATAATTTTTATAATAGTAAATTTTTATAGTGGAAGAATTTTAATACTTTTTTATACTTATTTATATTTTTATATTTATTGTTATTATATAGGTTTAAATATATATTAATTATTATTATATTTTTTATGAGTTTTCCCATATGTGTTTTTATATTATCAATTTTTGGCTTTTTATTATTATTTCTATATTAAATATATATTCTTTATACTTTTATATAGACTGCATATTGTTCATATACTTTTTATATATTCTTCATATGGATTTCTGAAGTATCCTTAATATGAACTTTTATTTTTAATGGGTGTTTTTTCTCCCAAAGAATGTTTCTCCTTATGCTGTAAATCAAATAACTTATAGATTTTTAAAATTAGATGTATGGATGTATAAAATATAAAATAATACATCTTACTGTCGATTGTATTTTATTTATTGTGAAAATGTGGACTGATGTGACCTGGTATCGGTTAATTTTTTCTATAAATAAGCGGACTTATAAAGATAAGATGCCACCTTCAAAGATGGCGTCTAAACACAACAACATCCGGGTTGAAGAGTAAATTATGAACCAATCCGTGATGACGTTATTGATGCAAGTGACACCGATGGAACCCGGAAGTGACGTCACAACACGGAAGTCGATCAAATTTTACCCGGGAATTTCGGAGTTTACCGGACCTATTTAATGAGACTGTGATCGGTTGTATCATATGCACCTTGGCAGAAGACGAAAGTCGAAACGCGTTGTGCCCTGTATGTTTTTTATTCTTTGTTTTAATTGTATCTATATTGTAATAAAACTCTTCATATATTTACCCACTTGGCTACCCGAGTTGTGGTGTGATTGGAAGAGTATTTGGAGGAATTAAAAGCTGACTTCGCTGGATGAAGCAGCCTGCCTGACATTATTTGAGGAGCAAATACAGTCAGAGCCTGCTATTTAAGGCTCTACAGATCGTGAGTGACCCAATACCAAATACTGTTGATATACAGTCTCTCGATACAGTATTATGCTATGTACATTTTGTTTATTTTTTTTAGATTGATCCAGTAAGCTACTGATTGAATAACTGATGTACAGATATAAGTATATTGTGATATTACTTTTCTAGTACCCCCCTCCTTTTCCTTCTTTTTCACTTGTTGTACTTGTGTAGTGCCTTTGGTGATTTACTTGGCACTTGGGGGTAGTTGCTGTTCTCATTGTCATTTTTACTAATAGCGCCAATCCACCCGTATATATTTCCGTAACAGGAAATATATTTAGTTTATGCATTGTAGTGGTTATCGTGCCAGGAGTGCCCTGAGACCCCTACAACTGTAAGCAGTCAAATCTATTTTAGAATGGTTTGACTTGTTACCTGGGGTCTGCTGGGTGCCGTGCCCTACATCCATTACAGCCGATCGAGTCCCAGGAGCTCTCTGTCTTTGCTAAGCCGGTCAGTGCAGGGCTTAGCTCAAAGCACTCAACCAATGAGTTGGCGCTTGGCTAAGAAAAGCAAAAGGTATCCCCTAAGCAGGAGAATCTGGCTCTCCTGTAACTATAGTGGGGGCTGTAAGCGGCACCCACCAGACCTTAGGTAAGAAGTCAAACTATTCCAAAATGGTTTGACTATTTATGGCACCATAACCACTACACTGCCTCCAGTTCTCGTGTAGCGATAGTGGAAGGCAGGGAGTGGCACCTGATGCACCCCAGGTAAGAAATCCAACCAGTTGTAGAATGGCGTTGATATAGAAATGTATCATGAATAAGATCATCCAAGAGATAACCAGAGGCTCCTAATTAGGTGTTTGAGCGCTCAGAAGAATTGATAATAAAACCACAGACTCTCTTCGTTGTAGCTTGAATATCATCTCACCTTTAATTGCAAAAGCATTGCATATTTATGACATTCTACTGCGCATGTGTACAAGAAAACAAGCAATAATTACTTACTTGTGAAGGTGTTATCTAAACTATGCTAGAATACCAAGGTTAAAAACAAAAGTAACATTTCAGAAAGGAATGAGCTCCAAAGACTGGTGATAGAATCAGAAGTGAAGGAATTAACTTTTAACCCTTTCAGATGTGGAAGGACTTAACTAAGGCAAAGGTTTTAACCCTTTATTTACCTTTATCTATGACAGTGTCACAACCTAGAATGGGGACATGACTACTACATTACTAATGGTTATGGTTCTTTTAGAAACAAACCATTCAATGATCAAGACACATTCCAAGAACCATAACTACTACAACATATTGTAATGGACAAACAGTTTCACCAAATTTTTTTTAGCAACTGTGTTTATACTTTCCTAACCCTGGAATCCCTACAAAAAGCTATAGTGACTATGGTCTTTGTAGTGTATATTTAAATTTAAACCGGAAAATAATTTTAAAAAAAACCATTTGAATATGGAATGGAGGTATCGCAAATTAGAATGTAAAATCTGTGTAATCATGTCTTTTCAGTGACATTGTGCTGTATGAAGAGATTCTCAAAGAGTACAAGCAATGTGAAAAAATTCTTACCGGCCTATCCCCGGCTCAGTGGAAAGATGATCAAATACAAAGGAAAATAAACCAAAAAGCATGCAGAAAGAAACTGCAGGTTGTTCTCCCACAGGCTATGAGGAGTATGTACTTTCCTGTTACTACTAAAAACTGATAGAAACGGACTATTACTGAAATCTCTTTGTGTGGCACGTCTTTTCTGAGCCTCCAGGGTGGCTCTATATTCTTATAATGGTAGAGTGCGTTTAGCTCTTCTCGCTGAACCGATTTTATAACTTTAAACTCGCCCCTGTTTTAAAAGTTACTGATACACATGCCTTCCAGCAGTCCATATTCCGCCAGGACAGTCCTGATTTTCGAGGTCCTGTCCTGACTTTGTTCCCTGGTGTTCCACTTTTTGGAGACGTCCGGTAACCGTCCCCAAAAAACATAGCGTGAGCACATCATTACTACGCTCAGGACACTAGTAACCTAAAGAGAGCACTGCAACAGCACACGCTGCATGGTCTGCCATTGGTTTGCTGGTCTGCTCCTTTGGGCCGTGCCAGAGATGCGATTTGTGGCACTGGCCGGCCCCCCTTATACCCTGCCCAACGGTCACCTGCTTTACAGGATGCTGATGGTCGGGGTGGGGGGGATATGAGTACATAAACTATGAAGTTTTAAGGAACTGGATGGGAGAATGCAGAGTGGGAAGATTCTTTATAGTATTCGTCCCCGGGATTCTAATATAAGAAAAGAGTGTCTTAGATATTTTACTATTTAAAGCATCCTATCCTGTCTACGTATAATGACTTCTCCTTACCTGGTGAAAGGCAGAGCTTTATACCCCTTTAATAAAAAAATGTTAAGAGGGGCAGGGCTGAGCAGCCGAGTGAGCAGGCTGCAGACTAGCTGAGCTCCTGCATCATAACTTGGAATTAAGAGATTAAACCTTCTATTTCACTGTTCTACTGCACCTAATTTCACTAGCTGATCCTGCTAAGGCTCCCGGTATGCTTTGGACTATTCCAGCCTGAAATTTGAGTGATGAAGGTCTGAATTTCAACACTGAGGCCTGGTGGATGTCTAATAACCCGTCTTCGGATCCAACAAGTACATTTTCCCCACCACCCCCTTTCCGGACCGGTGGGGGTCATTGTCCACTACGGCATCACTCTTTGACTAGCTCAACACTACAGGGCCCGTATTAGACACATGCTACTCACTCACAATGTCAGCTGGGTATGATAAGAAGGCTTCCGAGATATGCAAGTGCAACCTCCCTGCGGAATCCTTGCCCGCTTTGACAAATTCTGTGCAAAAGTTTGGCTTCGTTGCAGTCAAGACAGAAACTAGAGGCTGGAGCACAGAAAATGCACTCTTCCTCTCATGGCCACATGGCGGGAAGCCATCGTGTAATCAAGATGGCGCAATTTTGGAGCTACCACTCACATCTGAACCAGCAACCATCATGGAGAACTGTGACCCGACATTGTCAGTGCACACAATAGTGCAGTAAACCAAGGCAAGCAAGTGTACCGAGTGGTCATCCACAGACCCATCTATCCTTGCGGAGGCTGTTTGTACCTGCTGACATGCTGCACGCGGCATGACAGATCTCGACTGAGGTTGTATCATGACCTTCCTTCCTTGGCTTTCACACACTGCCTTCAAATCAGGCATCGGCTGATTACCACGGACAGAGCCAGGAACTCGTCCAGCTTACACCCAGATAAATGTGTCTCTCTAGCTTGATTTGTCCACACAGTTTATTCTAACTCTGGGGCTTGCTAAGTTTCTGTGCATTGCTGGTCTTATCTTGTACTCAGGACACACTACCTACACAGGGACCTTACCATCAGTACCTCTTGATAAATGGATATTCTTCAATTCCTTTAATTTTCGTAGAAACGTAGATTTATTTCGAAAATTAGTTCAGTATAAAAAAAGAATGTAAATGGAAGAGTGTATATGGGAGGACTGTCTGTGGCCTTTTTGTAAACTGTGTCGTTTCGAAGCTATTTTATGACTTTGTGTGTATGATGATTGTCTTTAAGGGTGACTGTGACAGTATGAGTAAAGAGGTAACTGTGGCATGATGAATGTGACAGGACAAGGGAATGAATGAGACAGGGTTGGGGGATGATTGTGACCTGGTGGGAAGAGGTTGTGTTATAGGGTGAGAGGAGGTAAGTGTGACATGATTAGGGGGTTAATGTGACAGGGTGAATGTGGCATGGTTGGAGGGTCAGTATAACAGGGTTGGGGTGGGTGTGGCATGGTTGGAGGGTCAGTATAACAGGGTTGGGGTGGGTGTGGCATGGTTGGAGGGTCAGTATAACAGGGATGGGGTGGGTGTGGCATGGTTGGAGGGTCAGTATAACAGGGTTGGGGTGAATGTGGTATGGTTAGAGGAGTAAGTGTAACATGGCAAGGGGAGGTGAATGTGACAGGGTTAAGGGGGACTAATTGACAGGGTGAGTGTGACAGAGTAAGGGGGTGAGTCTGACAGGATTAAAGGCGCTAATGTGACAGGGTCAGTGTGGCAGGGTCGGGGCAGGATGAGTGTAACAGGAGTGCAGGGCTTAATGCGACAGGGTGAGTGTGATAGGGTGAAGGCGGATGAGTGTGATAGTGCAAGATACTTCAATTTGCAGTTCTGCACCCGGCGGAGCTGCGGACTGACTGTAGTGCTGGCTCTCTCTCAGGGCAGACTGAGGGAAGGGCCTTGCACTGGGCGGCATAATGGGCAAGCTGCGGGGCCTCAGCCGTAGACCGAGGACCTAACATGTTAGTCTGCCTTAAGGCGATTTAGGAAGCTGCGAGGCCATAGGCCTAATTAGAGAGCTGCCTCTCCTGGGTCGCAACTATAGTCATTGTGGGCCAGAAGTTTGACATGCCTGCTGTAGAATGTACACTAGCCTGTCTCATAAATGCTCACTTACTTTTCTTTCTCACCTGCATCTAATAGTAAGCTTTTAAACGTGTTGCTCACTTTTCATATATCTTTGATTTCTACCTGCTGCTATACATTTTTATTTAATTTTTTTTGTGAACATGTTTATTATATTTTCATAAATTGTGCATTTCCATAATTTGCCAACACACTGTATGTATTTACATGTTTGCATAAGCTTATTTTTCGCTGTTGTGACATTACAGGCCTGATTGTTCATCAATGCACAAAACAAAATAAAGATTGACAAAAAAAAAAAAATGTTTAATTGTATATTGTTATATATAATTTTAAATTAAAAAGTGAAAATGATGAGTAAAAGAGAATGTGTTTTTACTGGTCCCTTTTTTTTTTAGAAACGGATAACAAATTCCATATACTGGTCCATACGTTCAGGATTACCTTGGTATCGGACTCATACAATGAGGGACAAAAAACAATCAAACATACAAAAATCAGTGATGTAATATAATTACAATACGGACAACTGGAGTAATTAAATTTAATTTCAACAGTACTATAGAACTCTATAACGATGGTTGGAATTTTTAAAACTCTCCTTAAATATCGCTGAACAAAAACATAGAAATATAGACCCATAATATTTTAGATTTAATTTATTAAACTCAATATAGTTTATTTCTATATCTCATCTAGTGATCAAAAACAAATCTATGAAACTATAATAAAAAAAAAATTTCTCTCTCTGTGCAGGATTATCAATCAAACCAACAAGAAGAGGCACTTTACCGGACTTGAGTTTGCCTCCTCCACGTAAATCCATTATAGCAATGAGAACGTTATCGGCAATCAGGTCAGTGCAGCAGAAATAGAAGAAAATTAAAAGTCTCAAACGACCACGTCAGTCATAATACTTTTTCACATAACTTTTTCCCCCCTCCTTATTTTTTAATATAATTTACCAAAACTAATCAGTTTTTCTTCACTTCCCAGTATTTTTAATATAGTTTACTTGTTTTTATACCGTATTTAAAAAAAAAAAAAAAAAGTATGCATTTTTGATGTGTGAAATATAAAATTTTAGAAATCTATCTAGCAGTCCGCATAGAGACAACGTAACGAGATGAGGAGTAATGAAAACAATCAGGGTTATGTATAAAGTGTTAAATTCAGTTTTACTTAAGATGTAAATTTGTTAACCTTTCTTCACTCAAGGTGTGGTCTTTCCAGTGATATATAAAGAGGCAAAATTGTATTTTCAACCCAGGAATTATTGACCCAGTTTATACATGACAATTCCTTACTGGCCATAGCCACTGCTGATTGACATTGTATATTATTGCATATAACAATTAGCAAATCCTTCTCAATTGTAGTTTTCCCGAATTCAGTACCATTTAGGGTATAATTTGCTTGGGCATTCTTTACCCCAAAGTGCATAACTTTGCATTTATCTACATGGCTTCTATGTCTGGGACATAACTCAATAAACTTGGAGATGATTGTTATTAACCACCAGACAACAGGGTGCTGTGTATGAACCCCAAAACATGAACCCCACATGTACATATTACAAATTATACATCCCCCCCATACATGGCTAGCTCCCATAAGTAAACTGTCAAAAAAGCACTCGTATCTGAGGTATGTAGCCCAAGTAATCAAGTTAATTTCTTGCGAGATGCGGGTAACCTCCGAACTGACAAGGAGTTCCAGTCTGTGGCCAGTCATAAAGAAGTCGCTCCAGCTCTGTAGAAGGGAGAAGTGGACCTCCCCTGTTACTTTCCCAAGTTTTTGTTAGCACTTCACCTCCTTTAGCTTCCTTCCATTTGGCTCTCTTCTAGGTGTCCTTGTGTAGGACCAGTGTGTGTTGAAAGTTGTACCGGGTAGCAGCGGGAACTCTGGCTGGGTGGGAGCTCCGGGTGGTTGGTACAAAGCTCCTGCTTGTGCAGTTCTGACTTTCCTGGTCAACAAGAACAAGCTAGATGAACACATGGAGGTGGATGCAATGGTGTGACCATGCTGTTTTTTGGGAAGGGGAGGGGAGAGGGGGTTGCATAGAGTCCTGCATCAATTGTCTGTGTGATCAGAGCAGGCTATATATCACAGATAACATTAACATGATTTGGCAAAGATTTGACAATAATTCTAAACTCTATCAAACTTGATTCTACTCTTATAAGGACACACCTAACACCATAAAACATATGTTCTTTGCTTGCTGTAAGAAGAGTTTGTCCACTGTCTCCCACACGGTTGCTAATAACTGCAAAAAATTGCTGCAGCCATAAGCCCACTCTCTCAATGACAAATATAGCAGGAGAAACTAACCTTCTATTCTGCCGAACTAAGTCTTTCTGACGCGTGCATGCGCTAAAGAAATACCAGCCCAGCCTGATAGGGGATGACGGGATCTACTGGAGGGTCCTAAGCTGCACATTGCATAAATACAAGTTGTAAAAACAGAAATATATTTTACAAGTAAAACACTGTGTTAAAACTGTCGTTGCAGACGTTTCAAGAGGTCCAGTATCTCTTTGGACAAGGGACAGACAGACGATTCAGAAAGTGAAGAGGTATGTACATTGGGAGTCTAATCAAATGTATTTGGAGAAAAATATAAAAAAAAATTCTTGGTTTGTTTCCTTTTTACCCAAAAATAAAAGGTTAATAAATTTTGCTACAGTCAATTAAACATTTTACTTTGTGCTGCAATCACATCATTTGAATAAATATTAATAATTTGAAACATGGCTTAGGACACAATGTTGTGTCATTACCCTTTATTTTTCACCCATGTCCATTATACATGTTCAGGAAAGGGGGCAGGGTTTCCAATGGCTGGGGGAACTGAGTTAGGGAATATGTATGCAGATATTTAATCCCCTGTTCCCTTGCACTATCCATGTGTTTTGAATTTGCAATAGATGACACCATACAAGACTGCTCAGGACTTTGGTGTGAAGGTGCCAGACTTAGCTTTCCGAAGCCATTATTATAGTGCACGAGTCTCCAACTACTTGGTGTAGGGGAGGGGGGAACAAGACAGCATCTCATTTACAAGACTGTCTAGTCAGATACCTGGCGAATACTTAATGTCATGTATCTGGCACCTTCATTACCAAATAATAGAAATGACAAAGCCCCTCCCCCTCCTTTTTTCTGTTTTACTTTTATGTTCTAAGGCGATAAGCACTAAGTGCAATTACTGGGACCTGCGCGTCCCTATAAATGCCTTCTTATGATCTGATACGACTGAAATTTAAATACTGGAAATACCTAATAAAATATGTATTCACAAAAAAAAAGAAATGACAAAGGAGCAGGACTAGGGTAATGCAGTGTGGCCGAGCCTGTATCTGTGTGTGGGGGAGGCACATTGACAAGTAAAGATCATCATATGAGAAGACAACTTGGCCAGTGGCCCCAAGGTGAATTACATTTGGGACCCCTACTGTATTTTAACCAGCCAGGGAAAAGAAGAGCAAGAGAGAGAGGTATTCTGCTCCCTTGCACTGCATCTGAGGATATTCTTGACATATTGGTCCATTTTACATGGGAGTCCCAGGTCTCTATGCCATCCTCTATAACTATCGCTGCTTTGTTACTGGCAGTGCTGTCTGAGCAAGGAATGTATTCTAGAAATGAAAAAGGGGAGAGACAATGTAGAAACATAGACTGTGATGGCAGATAAGAACCATTTGGCCCATCTAGTCTGCTCACTTTTCTAAATACTTTCATTAGTCCCTGGCTTTAGCCTTATGTCTATCCCACACATGCTTAAACTCCTTTAGTATGTTAACCTCTAACACTAATCCTAAAAATATTCAAATGCAGAAGTGGATCAACTCATAATGAGTTGAATTCCATATTCCAACAGCATCAGTGGTCCCTACATGTTGTCTTCTCCTTCTCAAGTGTGAACCACACAGTGTGATAAGCTTTGGTCTTGCAACAAAGTTAAGGACAGGCTCACATAGCCACAGCTACCATTGTGCAGCTGCATATATTCAAAACCACATTTACTCATTCTTTTAAATCAGAGGTTGAAAACAGTCATTTCATATTGGTATTGTATTATAAGATTTTTCTTTATTAAATGCTGATAAAGCAGCCCCTCATACAGTTTTATCTGTTAGACATTTTATTTTAGAATCTGTTCTTTAGGAATTGGAGTTGTACTTCACTGCTCCAAAACAGCTGCTTGATGCTTTCGTAGATCTAGAAGACCAGAATATAAGTTTGACCAAGTATGCTCAAGAACTGGATGAAGACCTAAAAGCTTTGCGAAGAAAAAACCAACGTAAACAGAAAACAGAGTGCGTATATTTCATACTAATACTAATGCGTGCGATACCTGTGAGAATTCCCTCTTTACAGTAAAATGATCAGAAAGGCTAACTTGTATTATGGCAATTAAAGGACCACTCTAGGCACCCAGACCACTTCAGCTTAATGAAGTGGTCTGGGCGCCAGGTCCAGCTAGGATTAACCCATTCTTTTATAAACATAGCAGTTTCAGAGAAACTGCTATGTTTATGAATGGGTTAAGCCTTCCCCCAAATCCTCTAGTGGCTGTCTCATTGACAGCCGCTAGAGGCACTTGCGTGCTTCACGCTGTGATTTTCACAGTGAGAGCACGCCAGCGTCCATAGGAAAGCATTGTGAATGCTTTCCTATGTGACCGGCACCCTCAGGGCACTATAGTGCCAGGAAAACGAGTATGTTTTCCTGGCACTATAGTGGTCCTTTAAATTGCAGTTTCCACAAATTTCACCTTCATTCCCTTTAAAGACAGAAAATCAAGCTGCAACTATGGTAGATGATTTTTCAAAAACGGCTATGTCTGGTCAAAGATTGCAATTCAGTCTCCAATTCAACAAAACCTGGTGATTGGCAAATAAACCCATTGCCTAATAACTGGTTTATTAACGTTGATGCTAGCCTCATCAACATTTTCTTTTTCTGCAAATAGTATATGTATTGATAGGTTTAAAGCCAGCTGGCATGACCAGGGGAATCTGTCTGCTCTGTGTTTTTATAGAGAGCGGAAAATAAGCATTTTAAAAGAACAAGTGGAATCGCTTACGGAAGCTTGTGTCAGAAAAGAAAAAAAAGTTAAAAAGCTAAAAGCAGGAATGTTTTCCCTTGACGGGTCAAAACCAGACACACAGGTAATTTTATACAGATTGATAGGCAATTCTAAAAACACAATTAAACTTTTACCAGTGTTTCGAATTGTTCTTATTAGGCTGCAATGCTTCAAACAATAAAGGAAAAGATTGCGGAGGTGTACAAAGCGTGCATCGGTGAGATTCAGGGACCTTTCGACGCCATGAATATGCTAGCAGGAATCGAGCACTGTTTCGAAGAAATACTTGAAAAATTTGAACTCATGCCACCAGACATTCTAGAAGTTGCTGAAAAGAGAAAACTGAGAGAACAGAAAAAGAGGTAATATATATCTACGTAGAAAAAAGAGAGCAAGGAACACAACGTTCCAAGTCCCTGTATAGCCGCCGCACCCACCACCTCAAAACCTCCCCAAAAGGGGGGCAGTGGCTGCAGGGGTCACGCAGAGACCAACGTACCAGTATGAGACTCCAGCTGTCTCAGAGGGGCTTAACCCCAAATATAAACACAAGAACAAAGAAATATGCAGACCGTCTCAATTATATGAATGAAACTTACTGCATTGACTGGAAAAAATATATCTATGTATAGCGCGATGTTCCAAATATAGAACCTGGCTATTAGAAATAATATGGTCAGAGACCCTAATTAGACAAAGTATATACAAGTATATAGAGACTTAGCTACTTAGCTACTTAGCTACTGTATACTCCTATCCCTATAGCAGATCACAATAAAGCTTAATTAAAAAGGGGGAGTGAGGTTATTTTTTTTACTACCTCTTGATTTATACTACCCTGGGCTGGCATAGGATTGTAGGTTCACTTGTATATACTTTGTTTAATTAGGGTCTCTGACCATATTATTTCTAATAGCCAGGTTCTATATTTGGAACATCGCGCTATACATAGATATATTTTTTCCAGTCAATGCAGTAAGTTTCATTCATATAATTGAGACGGTCTGCATATTTCTTTGTTCTTGTATATCTACGTAGAGGTACAGATATAACTCTGTGATGGAGTTATTGTAATAACCGTTAACTCACGTATATAAGGAATGGATTGTATCTACATTGCTGAAAAGATATAGATTCAGCATATCTATTGTTTTTAAAATGAACATTTGACAAAAATCACAATAAAAAGTCTCAATGAAACAACACATAATTAGCATGGTTTAAAGGGACACTATAGTCACCAGAACAACTACAGCTTATTGAATTTGTTTTGGTGAGTGCAATCATTTCCTTCAGGCTTTTTGCTGTAAACACTGTCTTTTCGGAGAAAATGCAGTGTTTACATTACAGCCTAGTGATAACTTCATTGGCCACTCCTCAGATGGCTATTAGAGATTCTTCCTGGGCCATGGCTGCCTAAAATGCATCCAAACATTCAGTATCTCCTCCCTCTGCATGCAGACACTGAACTTTCCTCATAGAGATTCATTGATTCAATCTATCTCTATAATGGGATGCTGATTGGCCAGGGCTGTGTTTGAATCATGCTGGCTCTGCCCCTGATCTACCTCTTGTCAGTCTCAGCCGCCAATCCTATGGGGAAGCATTGTGATTGGATCAAGCCACCACTTCTAATAATGTCAGCAGACTGCTTGTTTTTCTGAGTCTAACATCATGCAGAGTTACAGCTTCAGGCTTGAATAAAGTAAGATTTTGCTATATTTATGGAGGCATAAGGGGCCCAGGGGGGCTAGATGGTGGTTTTAACACTATAGGGTCAGGAATACATTTGTGTTCCTGACCCTATATTGATCCTTTAAGGCAAAATGAGCACATTTTTCCAGTTTGGCTATTTTAGCAGAAAAGTCAGTTGTTTCCAAATGTATATGTAATGAATATACACAATGTTTATCTCAGAGCACATGTGGAGAAGCTTAAAAAGGAAGAGCTCTACCATGAACAGCGCCGACTCTACACCCTGCAGAGAGCCCTGGCAGACACCAAAAGAAAGGTATGCTTGTTTTCCTATTGCCCAGGAAATGCAGTACCATGTGCTGGGCAGGCATATTTGTATTCTTTAAACCAATCCCCAGGGAAGCAGCAGGGCTGCCTGGAGGAGAAGGAGGGTTTGGTGTCGGGGCAGACAGTGAGTGGTTTGCACCTCTGGAGAGGCCCAGCATGCACTGTATTCCCAGCATGCACTGACACACTGAGCACAAGGCAGTGAGGGAGCAATTACAATAGTCTGCACCTGCTGGAGGTTAAGGCCGCTTGCAAACCCCTTCAAGACCACCAAAAAAACATAACCATCAGCATGGCAGGGGATGGAGGCTTGGCAAAGTACCGCACCACATACATCACAAGGGGAGAGAATATAGTAAAGGGTGAGACACTGATGGTAATTCACAAAACTCATATTTATTACAAAATAAAATGTGGCAAAACACAGGCCACAAAAAAATAATCCATGTCACTATAGTGGAGTTAGATAATCTTTCTAAATCAGCTATTTTTGCCTTGGGTTTTTCATATAGTATTAAGTTGTAAATACAGAGATTAGTAAATAGTCCCGTCAATGTCAATGGCCCAATCCTTGTTATTGGATTTTTGTTGTGTCACCACAAGTAGATAAGCTTTAGTCTCTTGTACAAGGAGATTTATTTATTTTTTTAATTAAAAATAAAATTGGAAGGGGTGGGGCCTAACCGCCAACATGACTGAACATGTTCCTTTCTAGCTGTGACACATTCAAGCAAAAAACAAGCCTTTTGTGCTCATAGCCGCGCTGTCTGCAGACTCACAACAGTCTGTCCTGAAACTAGCAGGAACGTGAAGACACACGACGTGTGACGTTATACTGGGAATCCCTATTGACCGCCCACGCGGCGTAGCCTGACAAGTGGCCTAGTGACAGGGAGAAGTGGCTGATCTCCCGTTGCAGGGCCAGCCTCATACAAGGATCATTCTTTAGACCCGCAACCCCCTGCCCCCCTTTGGACCAGTGGGGGATAGCCCAGTTCCCACTAGGGAAACTAACCTCTCCACACCAACAAAATCTCCTGCCGACTGTGTCTCCACACAGAGTGGCCAAGATGGCCACCGCGCCCCAACCCCAACAGCACTCGCAGCGCTCAATCCAGGCTTGGGAAGAGCACTTTGAAGCACATTTTGACAGGATCTGCAAAGAGTTCTGGAAACGCATTGCTCGTTGAACCCCCAACAATGTCTCTTATGCGGAGCCGTGATACCAACAGCATTACTGGATCGCAAACCCCACTCAGGGCTGGGAGCCCACAAAGAGGTCCTACCCACCGGGCACCTCGATACACCCCTGTATATGTTAGAAGAGTCCTTGTAACTATGAATGGAAGAGGATTATGGGCCACATTTGGCCAAATGCAAAAAGTGTAAAATGTTTCTTGGTTACCTCATAGGCATGTGCGTGGGGAAAATTTTCGGTTCAGCTCGGCTTCGGGGTTTTCGCAATTCGGCACTTCGGAAATGCGACATTTCGGGACTTCTATTGCAGCCGCTTAGTAGATAACTCCCTAATTCCCGCGGTATTAGGGAGTTATCTACCAAAAGGCTGAAAGACCTAAATTGGTCTTTCAGTCAAATTTACTAATACTGAGTAAAAATTACTTAGGATTATTAAATTTTGCCCCTACTTGCAATACCGCGAGTAGGCGGGTGGGGCCCTAAATTGGAATAAGGGGGGGGGACCTATTGAGCTGCAGGTGGGGGCCCTAAAAAAAAATGTTCCCCCCCCCAGGTGACTAGGGGTCCCCAAACCCCTAGTCTCCCCCTCCCCCCCCCAATTTTTTTTATCCCTCTACCTTCCCCCCTCACCCTAAAAATAATGAGGGGGGGACCTTTAACCCCTTAAGGACTGAACCAAATGTACACGTTGTGAACAAAACAAAACGTAAACAAAACCTGGCATTTGCGCTACATGTCTGTCCAACCGTAATTAACCTCTTTCATATTAAATGCACCCACCCTTATTATATATCATTTTATTCAGGGGAAACAGGGCTTTCATTTAATATCAAATATTTAGCTATGAAACAATTTAATATGAAAAAATGGGAGAAAATAAGAATTTTTTTTTTTTTTTAGTTCTACATGACATTTTAACTGTCAATGTCATAATACTGTTTGCTTTTACTGCAATAAAATACACATATTTGTATTCAGCAAAGTCTCACGTGTAAAACAGTACCCCCTATGTACAGGTTTTATGGTGTTTTGGGAAGTTACAGGGTCAAATATAGCATGTTATATTTGAAATTTTAATTAGCCAGATTGGTTACGTTGCCTTTGAGACTGTATAGTAGCCCAGGAATTAAATTTACACCCATAATGGCATACCATTTGCAATAGTAGACAACCCAAGGTATTGCAAATGGGGTATGTCCAGTCTTTCTTAGTAGCCATTTAGAGTCCAAAGTTAGCGTTAGTATTTGTTTTTGAAAAATGCAAAAAACTTTGGCCAGTGTTTGTGACTACGTGGCTACTAAAAACGACTGGACATACCCCATTTGCAATACCTTGTGTTGTCTACTATTGCAAATGGTATGCCATCAAAGGGGTAATTTTCATTCTTGGGCTACCATAGGGTCTCAAAGGCAACGTAACCAACCTGGCGAGTTTTAATGTGAAAAAAAATGAAACACAAGCCTTATGTTTGGCGCTGTAACTTTTGAAAACACCATAAAACCTGTACATGAGGGGTACTGTTGTATTCGGGAGACTTCGCTGAACACAAATATTTGTGTTTCAAAACAGTAAAAAGTATCACAGCAATAATATCGTCCATGTAAGTGCTGTTTGTGTGTGAAAAATGCAAAAAAGTCACTTTTACTGACGATATCATCGTTGTAATACATTTTACTGTTTTTTTTTTTTTATAATTCTTTATTTTTGCTTTGACAGACATTACAGCTTGAAAGCATTATTGGGGCTTGTGCATAAGCCTAGCAGCAAGAGGTACATTGGTATTTCAGTGATACTGGAAAAATCTAATCATTTGGTTAAGTATACATCTGTTGTGCGGCAGCTCTTGCTTTCTTCGTTGTTGACTGAAGCTGCAGTCCATCAGCGTTTTTCCTTTTTTGTAAACGCAATCAACGTCAAAACCTGGAAACACCCTATTTGGTGTTTTCCTAAAGTAACTCGAACTTCTACAACTTAGTGTCATGACCTGGTATTCTATTCGTCTCGTAGTTATTGTTGTTCTCCCTCCCCACTCCACCCCCCGACCCCCCCCTCGCCCCCATACTATGGGCACCTGAGTGTAGCATTACTTTTCTTACGTGGGCCGTGTTTGTGCTGACTGTTTATTATCTGATCATTTACACTTTGCCCTGTCCGTTGTTGGGTCTTTGGGCCCTCCGCTGCGTCTTCCTCCCACCATACATTTACCCTTTGTCGTGACTGTAAGTCCCCTTTGTGAAGAGCGTGTTAGATACCTAGTAATTTGCTCTTGCGAGCCCCCCTGGTTTCAGATTGTTATAATACTTTGGGCTTGTGTGTTAGCCCCCCCTCATCCCACCTCTTTATTTATTTTCCGTGCATAATTGCCCTCTTCTGTGGGGAGAAGGCGGGAAGAGAGGAGGACGGGATTAGTTTGGGTGTCAGGGAAGGGCGGGGAGGCAGCGGTCATCAAAAAAAAAAAAAAAGGGGGGGCGCGCCCGCTGCATATGTGTGTAGTGGTGGGTGTCACTTTGGTTGGCTCTAGTGTCTCATGGTGTGCGCGCCATTCTTTCTTGATATTCCTCCCACGGTTGCCACACCTTTGAAAAAGTGCCCATGGTGTTCCGTACCTGCGCTGTCAATTTGTCCATGGTGAAATTGTCCTGTATTTTGTGAATGACTTTGCTCATAGGGGGCATGTCGGGGCTTAGCCATTGTTGGGTCAGTGCTCTTCTGGCTGCTAGGGTCAGTTTGTTAACTAGTTTCTGTTCTTTTGTCGTCAGGTCATCCTGTGGTTTGGCTAATAAAAATGTCCATGGGTCTCTGTGTATTGGTCTCTCCAGGACTGCTGTCATTAATGTCTCTATTTCCGACCAGAATTTCACTACCTTGGGACATGTCCACCACATGTGGATGTATGATCCTCTCTCACCACAGCCTCTCCAGCAAGTATCTGTGGTGGTTTTCCCGATTCTATATAATTTGGCCGGGGTGGCTTACCACCTCAGGAGGGTTTTATATGCCTGTTCCTGAAGTGTTACGCATATGGAGACTTTGGCTGTCGCTTCCCATATATCCCTCCAGTCCTCCCCTTCCAGTGTTTGGTGTAGATCTTTCTCCCATTGGGTGATATAGGTGAGGGGTTCTGCGTTCCTCTCCGGGGCACTAAGTTGTGCGTAAAGCCAGGTAATCAGTCCCTTGCGTGTGGTTTCTGTTATGCATAATCTTTCAAAGCTAGTCATTGGAGCCTTAGCTACTTCTCTAACTCTAGGATGGTTAGCGAAGTCCCTTAGTTGTATATATCTGAAAAAGTCTCTAGTCTGTAATGGCGCTGTCTGTTTTAGTTCGTCAAAGGTTTTGAGTGTGTCTCCATCGTATAGGTGATAGTATCTCTGCAGGCCTGCGTATTCCAGACCTTTAAAGTCCCTCGCCCGCATACCTGGTGTGAATGCCCTGTTTCTCAAGTATGGGGTGAGAGGTGAGGGCATTCTCGTTAGTGCATATTTTTGAGCGTTGGCGTCCCATATTTTAATAGAGTTGAGTATAGATGGGCAGTCTGTGAGTAAGGGTGGTCTGTCTGCTTTTGGTACCCAGATCCAAAACTGGGGAAGGTCGCTTCTCATCACTAAGGATTCCAGGTCTGCCCATCTGCGTCTATCTGGGGGTGAGTGCCACTCTATTATTTGGGCTAGCTGTGCCGACAGATAATACAGGTGAAGATTAGGAAGTCCCAGTCCCCCTAGTCCCTTTGGTCGGTAGAGTATGCGTCGGGCTATCCTATGTCTTTTGTGTGCCCATATAAATTGGTCTATGTTGGTTTGTAGGGATTGGAGGTCCCCTTTCGTGACTTTCGTGGGCAGTGCCTGGAAGAGGAACAGCATCCTCGGTAATACATTAATTTTAATTGCGTGAAGACGGCCTATCCATGAGATCGGCTTCTCATGCCATTTTTCTAAGTCTTTTGTTATTGTTTTGATCATTGGTGTGTAGTTTTCCGTATACAGTCGTGAGACCTCTTTTGTTAGTTTGACCCCCAAGTATTTGATATGTTGGTGGTTTAGCTTTATATACGTCATCCTCCCTATTAGCGCCGTGTCTTCCGCCGTCAACCCCAGCGGCATGGCTTCTGATTTGTCCATGTTTATTTTATAACCTGCCACCTGGGCGAACTCCTCTAGTAGCCGGACTAGACTCGGGAGGGAGTTCTCCAGGTTCGTGAGAGTGAGCAGGATGTCATCTGCGTACGCAGATACTTTATACTGCTCTGTTGCTATTGTCAGTCCCTTTATGTTTGGGTGTTCCCTAATCCTGTAAAGGAGGGGTTCTAGGGCTAGTATGAAGAGGAGCGGCGAGAGAGGGCAGCCCTGCCTCGTGCCGTTACTTAGTTGAAATGGTTTTGGGATCGCTCCTGGTATGGCTATTTGGGCCTGTGGATTCATGTACAGTGCTTTGACCGCTGTGACGTAGTTTTCTGGTAGGCCTATGTGGCGCAATAGGGCGAACAAGTAATACCATTGGATCATGTCGAAGGCCTTCTCCCGTGTCCAGCGATAGGACGAGAGAAGGCGTCCGAGTTTTACCGGCCCACCAGATCAGGTCCACTGCACGTCTAGTGTTCTCATACAGTTGCCTAGTTGGCACAAAGCCCACCTGGTCTGGGTGGACCAGCCTGGGCAGAATGTGACCCAGCCTGATGGCCAGGATCTTGGCGTAGATTTTGGAGTCTACGTTAATCAGGAGATGGGGCGGTAATTGTTCACCTTCGATTTGTCCCGTCCCGGTTTCTGGATAAGAACCACGTTTGCCGTGGCGAGCTCTGCGTTAGGACACCCCCCCTCCATCCATTCCTGATACATTGTGAGGTGCTAATTCTGCTCGCAGTGCTTTATAATAGGCCCCGTCAAACCCGTCTGGTCCTGGTGTCTTATTGCCCTCTATCAATCCTATGGCCCTGTCTACTTCTTCTGTCGTAATTGGTGACTCTAGGTCTGTTAGATCTTCCCGATTTGGTTTGGGTAGGTTTATGCTGGCCAGGAAGCTTGTGACTGCCTCTACGTGTTCCCTGTTGGTTTCATCTTTCCCCGGGGAGTGATTGTATATTTGCCGTAGGAAATTGGTGAATTCCTCGGCAATGTCCTGTGGGGAAGTGAGGGGTTGGCCCTGTTCGTTGGTGATGGATGTGATGTGTTTGTGTTTTTGTTTGGGTCTGAGGGCTCTAGCTAATAACTTATCCATTTTATTGGACTTTTCGTAAAAAAGTCTTCTCGATCGGGTGATATCTCTGCTTACCTCATCCAAGAGGAGATTCTTCAGCGCATGTCTGATGTTTTGTATGTCGTCTAGTGTGGGCTGTGTCGGGTTCTGTTTGTGTTGCATTTCCGCTTTACGGAGGGCCTTCGGCAGTTCCGTTAGTTTTTCCATTTTTTGTTTTTTATTTCGTGTCGCTATTTTTATTAGGGTTCCCCGCAGGACCGCTTTGTGGGCCGCCCACGTCATAGTGGGGGACATTCCTACCGTAGTGTTTAATTCAAAGTACTTGTTTACTTCTGTCTTAAGTAGCTCTAGGGTGTCTTGGTCTCTAAGGAGGGAGTTGTTAAGCCTCCACCTCCAGGGGGCCCGAGGCCCCGGTGTGTGGAGAGTCAGGGCAATGTCAGCGTGGTCTGACCAGGATATCATATTTATGGCTGACGATTTTACCCATCTCATGCCCTGTTGATTTGTGAGGAATACGTCAATTCGGGAGTAAGTGGAGTGTACTGCCGAGTAGTGGGTATAGTCTAGTGTACCTGGGTGTTGCAACCGCCAGGGATCCAGAAGCCCAGTGTTTTGTAAAAATTTGTTTAGAAAGCGATCCTGTCCTCCTCTACCCTGTGATCTGGGTTGTCCTGGTTTGCCACTGCGGTTGACCGCGGGACACGGCGCTGCGTTTAGGTCACCCCCTAGGATCAATATACCCCCCGACAAAGAGTTTATGAGCTTTTCCAGGGTTGTCCAAAAGTGGGCGTCAGGGATGTTAGGGGTGTATACGTTTATGAGGTGATATTTGGTTGCATTGATCAGCCCCGTTAGGATTATAAACCGTCCATCCGTGTCTCTGTGTATGGACTGTATGACCAGTGGGCATCGTTTGTGGATGACTATTTCTACTCCCTTTGTCTTACGGAGCGAGCGGGCCGCGTATGCTTTTGTATATATGTGGTCTATGATTTGAATCTTGGAGGTCTTAGGGAGGTGGGTTTCCTGTATGAACGCTATGTCTGCCTTCTGTCTGTGTAGTTCCCTGAGTAAAAGTCTGCGTTTGTTTGGCACATTAAGGCCGTTTACGTTGAGTGATGTAATTTTAAGTGCGAGTGGTGTGCTAGTGTACCTTGTGCCTCTTTGCCTTGTGGGTGCATAATCCGGAGCTTCTGCCTTGTTGTCGTGCGCCGCCCGGCGGTCCCCCCGGGGTGGTTGCCGAATGTGCCTTGTCTCAGCGGAATCGTGGGCCGGGGTAGGGGATGAAAGAAAACAGGTCATGACAACACATATTGGTAACCTATTAACATAACCCATAAAACCTTTATCCCAACTTAGTGGAGGATGATCCTCCGTGATCCTTCTACCTGTCGGATCTAAAATCCCGGTCTTACCTCTCGCCAGGTCGATCGGGGGTGGCCACCCGCCGCGTCAAGAAGTGTCTCAAACGGGGCGGGTGTACAGCCCCAGAGCACCCCCGCGAGGCTCTAAGCTTGTGTCTAACTTGTCGTGGGTGTTTACGACATAGGGTGTGACGATCACCGGCTCCTGTGAGCCTATCTGTATAGGTGTGTCCTGAGGGAGGGGGTGTGAATGGCCCTTCGCCTGTCCTGCTGTTTTCCTCCGTGTCTTGGGTATCTGATCCCTCTCCCTGGGCCCTTTGGGTTTTTTTTTTTGTCTTTTTTAAACTTTTCCCTTACTTGCTTCCCCTCACTGTGTGCCCCTTTGTGTGGAAGTGCTAGATGCGCAGTTGTGTCCCCTTGAACCTTTCCCCGGTGGGGGGGTGGATGTATGCCCTCTCCCACCTGTCACTTCCTCCTTCCAAGCCCTTGCCTAGTTACTCTGGCTTTGTCTGGTGGGAAACAGCTGGTTCATGCCCGATTTGAGCGTCTCCTACGATAGGGGGCCCTCTGCCAGCAGTACTATGGCCGATGGTTTGGTCTGGTCTAAGCCTGTTGCTTTTTGATCAGACACCCCGGAGTATATGTGGGATGGCTTGTTGTTAACCCCAAGAGGGTCGTTAAATATACCATCCCCCCTAATGTTAGCGAGTTTGCCTGCTTTTTTTTTTTCCCTTCCAATTGTATATGGAGTGGCTATATTCGTACCCTTCTCCATTCGGGTAATCTCCCCCTCCTTCCCCTCCCTATCTTTCATCAGACCCCATGTCCCCTCTATCCTCTACCAGTTTTCAATTTTAACTATGTCCGCAATGTCCCTATGATATGATGAATCATATATATCAACTTGCGTGTTGTATTGTCCATGTTGCGTGTCCCTCAGGTACGGGTCGCTATCTTTGGTGCCTATCTCGCTCTGCGTTCCAGCCATTCCCTGGGAAGCAGTCCCAGCGCCCTGGGCCCCCTCGGTGGTAAGGTCAGGTCTCCCGGTACCTCGATGCCCAGTTCTTGGAGGACGCCTCTGGGGTCCATGGATGGTGTCAGCACTGTCGGTCTTGGGCCATTAAAGATGAGCATCTTAAAGGGGAAGCCCCATGCGAAGCGCAGGCCTTTGGCTCTGAGGAGGTCAGCAATGGGTTTCCATTCTCGTCTTCTTGCGAGGGTAGTTGGAGCGATGTCTTGGTAGATCTGTAGCGTCTTTCCTTTATACATGTATGGCTGGAGCCTGCTTTGCTTGAGAATTGCTTCTTTCGTGGAAAAAAGTGCCACCTTATGATGACATCTCTGGGAGGGCTGTTTTGCGGTCCCTTAGCTCGCAGTGCCCTGTGTATCCTGTCGATGTGCCACAGCTGATCTGGTATCTGTGGTAGGCTGGTGCGGAAGATCTGCGCCAGTAGCTGCTCAAGGTCTCCATCCCCTACCTCCTCTGGCAGGCCTCTGATGCGCATGTTGTTGCGCCGTGTTCTATTAGAGTTGTCCTCCAGCTCCATTTCCAGTTCAGCGACCCTGGTGAGTAGTGCGTTTGTGGCTGTGGTATTTTCATTGTGTGCTGCTACCACATCTTCCAGCCTGCTCTCTAAGGCCTCTGTACGAATGCCTATGGCCTGGATTTCTGCCTTCACCTCCCTGGCTGATCTGTCTATCTCCCCTGCCAGGTACCCCTTTACCTCCTCCAGAGAGTGGAGTATAGCGTTCTGGGGGTCCTCCGTGTGCCCAAATAGGGAGGATGTCGGCGTGGCCGGTGAGCCAGGAGTGGAGGTGCCCGTCGGGCTTTCCGCGCCATGTGCACCACGTGGCGCGGGCTTAATGGCGGCCAGCATGTCTGCGACCGATTGATTGCCGCCACGCTGTTTCTTCCCCGCCGCCTTCCTCTGTGACATGGTGCTCGGGGATCCCTGCGAGCTTGCCGAGACTGGCGCTGTGTGTAGGGGTGAATTGCAGGTTGAGAAGTGCAGGTTGCCGGGCGGGTTGCAGAGCCTCTGGTGCGGAGCTCCGGAGTTAGGCTGCCATCACTCTCGGAGTCCAAGCCACGCCCCTACATTTTACTGTTTTAAAACACTAATATTTATGTTCAGCGATGTCTCCCGAGTAAAACAGTACCCCCATGTACAGGTTTTATGGTGTCTTGGAAAGTTATAGGGTTAAATATGGTGCTAGCAAATTAAATTCCCTATACTTTCGGAATGGGTTGTTAGGCAGGTCCCGCTAATTGTAATTAATTAAAATACCTAACTATGTAAAAATATTAAATAAATATATATGTAGAATTAATATATGTGTGTGTGTGTGTGTGTATATATATATATATATATATATATATATAATTTGTAAAAAATATTTTAATTTATACATAGGTGTGTGTGTATATGTGTATTAATATCACAATACAGTTAGAACGAAATAAAACACATCTATATATTTTTTTAATTATTCTTTTACATTTTATATTTTAACGTATTTACATATTTTTTATATTATACATATATATAACAATAATTACATATATATATATATATATATATATATTTATATATAAAAATACACCTAGACAGTGTGTGTGTGTGTATATATATATATATATATATTACTTAGATCATATATATATGATCTAAGTATATTATTATTATTTTTTTTTTTACACTGATTTTAATTAAATTTTATTTCCAGCCAGCAGGGGGACTGTCATTACAGGCAGTCCCCCTGCTGGCAATGCAGCAGCCAGCTAACCCAGCCATGTGATTGTGAGGTCCTTGCAAGGACCTCACTCTCACATGGTGGGGGGGATGGAGGAGGCAGGATCCGCCACGGGGGACTCCCTGGGATCCCAGGTGAGTCTCCCCAACAGCGATCGCCGGCGTGTCATTTTACACAGCGTGGGAAAGTTCTTTGGAATTTTCCCACGCTGTGTAATTTGACTCATAACTCTCTGATTGGTTACTTAATCCACCAATCAGAGAGTTATGAGTCACAGGCTGCTCACTGTTTAATAGACATGCCCCTACTCGCGGTATAGCGAGTAGGGGCATAATTTACTAATACTAAGTAATCTTTACTTAGTATTAGTAAATTTGGCTGAAAGACCAATTTAGGTCTTTCAGCCCTTTTAGTAGATAGCTCCCTAATTCCCACGGTATCTACTTATTCATTCCTGTCATTACATTGACAGGCTAAGTAACTTACATTTTATATAAATGTATGTTACTTGATTGTTGTAAGTGTTGCAAATGCTTTCAGCTGAATCCTGGCTATGTTTGTATACTTCTTATTTAAAATTGTATACAGTGTAACATTCTTCTTCTTTCACTGGGTAAGTATATTAGTACTTAGGCAACACTGTGTTTCGGAACTGTGGAAATTCGGTAATTTCGGAACCTCGGCAATTCGGACATTCAGAAGTACCCGAATGTATACAGTGTAACATTCTTCTTCTTTCACTGGGTAAGTATATTAGTACTTAGGCAACACTGTGTTTCGGACCTTTGGAAATTCGGTAATTTCTGAACCTCTGCAATTCGGACATGCGGAAGTACCTGAATGTCCGAATTTCCCGAAATATGTCCGAATTCATATTCGGACCCAAACGAATTACACATGTATATTACCTCATTCTATTCAACAACTATCACTTATACCTCGATATTAATGTTGCATATCTACAAATCCAACTAACGTCCTATCTCGCTACTGCCTTTTGCATCCAAGATCCTTGAAAGAGTTGTGCATGCGAGATTGACAGACTTCCTTGAGTCCAACTCTCTGCTAGACCCGCTTCAGTCTGGTTTCTGCGCTAAGCACTCTGTGGAAATGGCACTGACCAAAGTATCCAATGATCTACTGGCTGCAAAATCTCATGGTCACTACTCTATCCTAATTCTCCTTGATCTGTCTGCAGCTTTTGACACTGTTGATCATCAACAGCTTCTTCTCATCCTCCGCAATATCGGTCTACAAGATATTGCTCTCTCCTGGTGTTCCACCAACCTCTCCCAGTGCTCTTTCAGTGTATCTTTCTCTGGCTCTGCTTCTTCTCCACAACTCCTCTCTGTTGGTGTCCCCCAAGGTTCAGTCCTTGGTCCCCTACTGTTCTCCATCTATACTGCCTCCCTTGGTAAACTCATTAGCTCCTTTGGCTTCCACTATCATTTCTATGCAGATGACACGCAAATCTTCCTGTCCTCTCCCCATCCTTCTTGACTAGTGTCTCTGACTGCCTCTCTGCTATTTCTAACTGGATGGCTGCCCACTTCCTTAAACTAAACTTGAGCAAAACTTAAATTGTGGTCTTTCTTCCCTCAAGTAGTGTTACTCCTGTGCTACCATCAGCTCCACCATGCAGGCTCGCTGCATAGGTGTTCTCTTTGACTCCGACCTCTCCTTCAAGCCTCATGTTCAATCTATCGCCAAATCCTGTCGTTTCTATCTCAAAAATATTGCGCACATCCGACCCTACTTAACGCCAGATGCCACTAAGGTTCTGGTCCATTCCTCTGTCCTTTCTCGCCCTGACTACTGTAATCCACTTCTCACTGGTCTTACGAGCTCCCAACTTGCGCCGTTACAGTCCATAATGATTGCAGCGGCGAGGCTCATCTTCCTGTCTACCCGCACCTCCCCTTTCTGTCAGTCCCTACATTGACTTCCTGTAAGATATAGGGCTCAATTTAAAATGATGGTTCTTGCTTTCAAATCTCTACATAATGCTGCTCCCACCTATCTATCCTCCCTAATATACAACTATGTCCCTTACAATCTGCTGAACACTTACATCTATCTTCTGTCTGTTCTCCCACCTCTGATGCCTTCAAGACTTCACGATGCCTGCACCATTTCTGTGGAACTCACTTACCTCCTCCAGTAGATGCTCACCCAGTCTCCACTACAAAAAAAAAAATCATTAAAAACCCACTTCTTCATAAAAGCGTATCAATTAAACTGTTAATAGCTCCCAAGTGATTCCTCTCTTGCAACTATCACAAGTCTAATACTATCCTTACCTTTTGTGTTATTTTACCCCACTCCCTCTAGCATGTAAGCTCATTGAGCAGGACCCTCATCCCCCTCTGTTCCTGTGTGTCCAACTTGTCTGGTTACAACTACAAGTCCATTCGTCCACCCATTGTAAAGCGATGCGGAATTTGACGTTTTCCACCACTAGTCTAAGCTCTCACACCTGCTTAAAATGATCATCTGAATTGTGCTATAAGAGGCTACACCCTGCTAACCAAACGGCCCTTTATATTGATAGCTGTTCATTGTCTAATACAGACAAGACATTTGTTCCTGGCTCATTCTGATACCTGAGAACCTGCTTAACCCCTTAAGGACCAAACTTCTGGAATAAAATGGAATCATGACATGTCACACATGTCATGTGTCCTTAAGGGGTTAAAGCTCTTTACCTTTGATTCATCCAAAGAACCTGGATTATTTCAGACTGGACTTTGTTTCCTAATTGCTTTGGCCCTAACCTGCCTGGACTGTACAAACATTCCTATTAATTGCAACTCTCCTGGATAACCCTGTGCCACCTATCTGATAAATGCTGTACAACCTTCAAACAAAAGAGACTGATCACCTAAACTTAGAACGAACCTGAATTCCATAAGCCTTTATTATATTCTGTTTATTTTTGTGCTGTTAGTAGGTTTGCCTGTTACCTATAATTTCTCTTATAGGTTTCCCGTAAACCTGCTTTGGGGCATATTGCCTAAACTTCTATTTCTATAACTACTCTTTCTTTCTTACCTGTAATCAGTGGCTGCTCTAGACTTTGTGAGGCCTTAGGCGAAACTCAAACGTTAGGCCCCCACTAACACCTAAAGTGGAAATAAAAATAAACAGGGGTTGCAATGGGTGTATAAGGTGCTGTAGTTGTATAGAAGGACAAGCTTGCAGCGGTGGATACAGAGAGCAAGTCTCTGCATTCATTGTTCAGAGGCTTGCAGTGTTGCAGCTCCGTGTGCCGCTGTGTTGTAAGCTCTGACTTTAGTTATGGCATAATTTTCCAACTAAATTTGCAATCAGCAACTATACTAATCATTTATACAGGACTGCAGGGTTTGATTACATAGCCTTGCAGTCATGTATACATTGCCAGTGTGTGTGTCTTTGAGTGTGTCTGGCATGGTCTACCTATGTATGTGCATGAAAGTGTGTGTCTGAGTGAGCGTATCCTTGTGTGAATGTATGTCTTTGTGTGTCTGGGACTGTATGTGTTGGGTTGCTGCTTGCGATGTTTATGGGTGCTGCCTGTGATCTTTGTGCATGTGTGTATGATGAATGTCTTCAGTTTGTGACTGTGACAAGGTGAGTAAAAGGGTAACACTGGCAGGGTGAGTGTAACAGAATGAGGGAGGGCGAGAATGATAGGGGGGCGATTTGTGACAGGCTGCATGTGGTATAGTTGGGGGGGTGTATCACAGGGTTGGGGTGGAGGAGGTAGTGTAACAGAATGAGGGGAGGTGAGTGTGACAAGATTAAGGGGGTTAAGTGGCAGGATTATATTAAAGTGGAAAGGTGAGTGTGGCAGGGTTGGGGGGGAGAGGGGGGGGGGGGAAATAGTGTGGCACAGTTGGAGGGGCTTATGTGTGTGGCAGGATTGAGGCGTAATTAAAAACACTGCTAAAATGTAATACACAAGCCTTAAAATGTATTTGTATTGTTTACCATTATAATCAGGACTGTTTTGATAGGGCAATGTTAAAAAAAAATAAAAAAAAAATACATATATTTAAATTTGTTCCTGTCCCATTTTTCAGGAGCTTGCACAAAACCTTAGTTTGCTATGCAAATGAATATTTTAAACTATAAGCATTCTCTGCCTTGTCCTACAGGAGGGGAGGAAATTGATGATTCGGTCAGATCCGCCATCCATAAAAAAGACGACAAATTATAACGAAGAAATGATCCGAAGGATGCAAGAGGAAGAGAAGTATTTCTTCACTTAAATACTGGCCATTTGGCATAGTTTGCCACATTCTACATTTGAAAATAAAAGATTAATTCAGCGCATTTAGACCACGTTATTACAATTCAGTTTATTTTACTCTTTAACAGAAAATAAGACAATGTTCTACAAAAACTCAACCCTGTTAAGAGTATAAAAAAAAAAAAAGCCTTCGTAACAAATGAAGGGGACGTTTTTTTTTTGCTCAAAATGTACAAAAAAAAATCATGACAATTTATTCTCGCATCTCGCCATCTTCTTCCTCCTCTTCGACACCGCGTATATATAGTACATTGTTACACCTACAACAGAGAAAGCAAGATGTTAAAATGATGAGTGTCACAGACTAGTAAATTAACCAAGAGCATTCAGATTAATCTGGGCTAGTCAAATTATAGTGATTATTTTCTTGGTAAAACACTAATAATCCGTTCTTGAAAGCAAAACTAACAAACTTTGACAACATCTCCTTTAGGCAAAGTTGTTAACAGATTACTTATGAACTAAATCTATGCACTGCTGAGGCAGCAATCATTTCTACTAGCATTTAGCTACCAGGAAATTTTGACCTGCAAGTGGAAATCTGCTTATTCTGAAATAACCTGCACAGTTAATAACTGCAGCTCTCAGGCAATGACATACACCCTGTACTGTCAGGATTAAGAGCTTCTGGTTGTCAGAGAGGCAGTGTCACACCTTACTCTATCATGTATATGTTTAGTAACTGTATATAGTAAAACACACATGGCTTTGGTTTTGTGTCCAGAAGGAGGTATTTTTTGAGAAGTTTGTTCTATTTCTGAGGTTAATTATTTAAGAAATTCTTGTTTAAGAAATTCTTATTGGTAAATCAGCTGCAGACATGTATAGGTCTGACAGTTTTGTGAATGGTTTTCTCACGTATCCAAAACTTGTTATAAATGGTTTTGTAGTTTAACTGTAAGTACGCACAAGGCTTGCACAATGCCAAAACCGATCAGCAAATTTATAGAAATGTTATTTAATATTTTATATAAACAGACCATTTGGGGATTTACTGATATGAACCACATGCGTGACTATACGACCTGTAATTACACAGTTGCATCCCATACAACTCAATGTGCACATGAGAAATGTGAAGTTAGGGCATTGCTTATAAAGCCACTCCATCCAGTCCCTGACACTAATCATGGAGGAAGCGACATTCAGATAAGTATCTTTTAATCTCAACATTTGCAGGTGAGTGTTTATCTGCAAAAACCAAAGAATGAGAACTCTGAGAATGGACAAAAGCTTATAGAGACTCAGTAGCTTGCCCTTTGGTAAATCCATGTGCAGGTCTCAAATGTTTTTTGCTTACAATTGCCGTTACAGAGAGAACTGGTAACATTGGCATATCAGAAATAATCTCCCCCATAACGGCAGTCCAGAACCGAAATGCCAAAAGTCCTCTTTGCACGAGACATACAGCAACCCAGGATGATAGTGGTGGCCTTCTTTGGGCCTACGCAGCAAAGTGTAGCCGATTCCACATCTGGATTTCCTTTTTTGCTAAGGGAGAGCCCTAGCAAATTGCTCTGCAACAAATCAAACGGACAGAAGCTTCAAGAACCTCAGTAGCTTGCTCTTTAGTTAATCTCTGCTCAGCTCTCAAAAATGTTTTACCTAGAAGATATCAGCTATACCTTACTAATAAGGCTTAAAGAAGGCTGAAACTACCATTCTTGGTTGCTGTATTTCTCACGCAGAGAGAACATGCCGGCATTTTGGTTATAGACTGCCCTTATGAATGAGCTGGGTCTGAAATGCAAATGTTACCGGATATCTTTGTAATGGCACAAGTTAACAAAAAACATTTGAGACCTGAGCGGGGACTAACCGAAGGGAAAGCTACTGAGTTTCTCTTAGCTTCTGTCTGTTTTTGTTGCAATACATTATATCAGTATAGTTGTAATTAACTGTAGGAGAACATCACCCACACAATCTGGATGCAAGGATCATTTTAAGAACAATCTCCAAAGTTAGTTTTACATTTCATGAATGGTCCCCGAGGTAATTTTACAAATTATGAATGTATCATCAAGCTATATTTACAAATGAAAAATGGAGGCACTAATGCTAATTACAGAATTTGAGTCAAACAGGTTAGAGACAATGGACCCAAAATACCAATATAAATAAATTAAGCCTTTCAAAGTAAATACCGTGCTTCAGATATTGAAATAAACATTGCTGATGCAGCATTAGATACATTGTTCACAATGATCAATATCCTTCCTCTATTGTTATGTGCATCGGACATGTGTGAGTGAACAGATTATTCTTACCGTATTAATACTTCCCCAAGATGTCCAGACAATGCACCATCTATGTATTCTTCTGTGTTAGCAAGCTTTATTGGGAGAAAAAGAAAAACCATATATAAGTCTGGTATAACATGGAATAATACCCTAGATGTTGATAAGATCTTTGATATAAAAACATCTTACAGCTAAATGAATCACTGGAAGTGTTTTTCAGTAGGTGGAGAATTGTGGATAGCATTAACATTCGTACATGAAAATACGGCCAAAGAATGCGAGCAGAAAACATTTACTTTTACATTTGATCACTACTAAAAGAAGTTTTACTTATTAAGTAAAATTTTACTTTAAAATGGTCTACACAAAATCTCAATTTAATACACCCTCCGTGTGAAATGTTTTGTAGACAAAGGGATTTACTTTTCAGTAACACTATTATTATTTATATAGTGCCAACAAATTCCACAGAGCTGTACAATGAGTGGAAAAACACCACTAGGTACAGTATAGTGTATATCAATGGGGTATGTATCGCTCTAGACTTTGGGTTGTCTGATGTACAACAGAAAAATTGGTCTTTAGCAACAAACATGACATTCTCTATTTTTCTTACCTGCATGTTCATATACCCATCCACAGAAACCAAGTATCCCTTGTACTCCATGCCCCACTTTAGCTTGACCATGACTGGTTTGCCGGTGAGGCCATTAAGAAATGGTTTTGGGTTCAATGGTAAACTCTGAAAGGGTGAAAATAAAAACAACCTTTAAGCTTTTTTTTTCTTTTTTTAAAAACACAAGTAGAATATAATTATACAAATTTTAGTGAAAAAGAAAAACCCAAACCAAAAAACTACTGTAAACCCACGTTACATGGCTGGTTTCCCCATCTACATGGAAATTAAAAGGACACTCCAGATTTCTAAAGTACTTCTGCTTGCTAAATGCATCTTGTTTTGTTTTAGAAAAGTGAAGATTTCAATAGAAATTGGCATTTTATAAATTAACTTTGTTACACCCCCCCAGACAATACATTTAGGAGTCCTGCTCCTCATCCATTAGCTTTTATGAGCCCTGTCCCCACTCCATCCATCAATTACTAGGATTCCTGTCCTGCCTCCCCTCCATCAATTACTATGATTCCCCAGCTCTCCCTCCATTGATTACTAGAAATCCTGTGTGTCCCCCAGCTCTGCCTCCATTGATTTCTAGGAGTCATGTCCCCCAGCTCTCCCTCCATTAAAAGGGATGCTCAGAATCCTGCACCCCCATCCCATGTTGCTGAAGGGGTTAAAACCCCTTTAGTGACTTACCTGAATCCATCGTCGATGTCCCTTGGCGCTGGATCAGGTTCTGCACACGCTCCACCACCGACGACGTCAGCCGGTGGGAGGAGACCTAATGCACGGGAATGGCTGCATGTGCATTAGACATCCCCATAGGAAAGCTTTATTCAATGCTTTCCTATGGGGATTTTGGCGACGCTGGAGGTCCCCATGCATAGCGCGAGGACACCGATCGTAGTTTAACACACTTTTTGTGTTTTAAGAACCCGGAAGCTGATAGACAGCCACTAGAGGAGGACTTAACCCTGCAAGGTAGTTATTGCACTTTATAAAAACTACAATAAATACGCTTGCAGGGTTAAGGGTAATGGGAGTTGGCATCCAGACCACTCCAATGGGCAGAAGTGGTCTGGGTGCCTGGAGTGTCCCTTTACTACGAGTCCTGTCTCCACCTTCAGCTCTCCCTCCATTGATTACTACGAGTCCTGTCTTCCCCCTCCCCCCCCTCCCCGCTAGGGGTCCTGTCTCCCTCCACTGATCGCTAGGGGTCCTGTCTCCCTCCACTGATCGCTAGGGGTCCTGTCTCCCTCCACTGATCGCTAGGGGTCCTGTCTCCCTCCACTGATCGCTAGGGGTCCTGTCTCCCTCCACTGATCGCTAGGGGTCCTGTCTCCCTCCATTGATCGCTAGGGGTCCTGTCTCCCTCCATTGATTGCTAGGGGTCCAGTCTCCCTCCATTGATTGCTAGGGGTCCAGTCTCCCTCCATTGATTGCTAGGGGTCCAGTCTCCCTCCATTGATTGCTAGGGGTCCAGTCTCCCTCCATTGATTGCTATGGGTCCAGTCTCCCTCCATTGATCGCTAGGGGTCCTGTCTCCCTCCATTGATTGCTAGGGGTCCTGTCTCCCTCCATTGATTGCTAGGGGTCCTGTCTCCCTCCATTGATTGCTAGGGGTCCAGTCTCCCTCCATTGATTGCTAGGGGTCCAGTCTCCCTCCACTGATCGCTAGGGGTCCAGTCTCCCTCCACTGATCGCTAGGGGTCCTGTCTCCCTCCATTGATCGCTAGGGGTCCAGTCTCCCTCCATTGATTGCTAGGGGTCCTGTCTCCCTCCATTGATTGCTGGGGTCCTGTCTCCTCCATTGATTGCTAGGGTCCAGTCTCCTCCATTGATTGCTAGGGGTCCAGTCTCCCTCCATTGATTGCTAGGGGTCCAGTCTCCCTCCATTGATCGCTAGGGGTCCTGTCTCCCTCCATTGATCGCTAGGGGTCCAGTCTCCCTCCATTGATTGCTAGGGGTCCTGTCTCCCTCCATTGATAGCTAGGGGTCCTGTCTCCCTCCATTGATTGCTAGGGGTCCAGTCTCCCTCCATTGATTGCTAGGGTCAGTCTCCCTCCATTGATTGCTAGAGGGGTCCAGGTCTCCCTCAAGTTGTTGTTGATTTGCTAGGGGTCCACTGTCTCCCTCCATTGATTGCTAGGGGTCCTGTCTCCCTCCATTCCGGTGCTAGGGGTCCTGTCTCCCTCCCATTGATTGCTAGAGGGTCTGTCTCCCTCCATTGATTGCTAGGGGTCAGTGCTCCCTCCACTGATCGCTGGGGGGTCAGTCTCCCTCCACTGATCTTCGAGGTTCTGTCTCCTCCATTTGATCGCTGGGGTCAGTCTCCCTCCCAATGATTGCTAGGGGTCCTGTCTCCCTCCATTGATAGCTAGGGGTCCTGTCTCCCTCCATTGATTGCTAGGGGTCCAGTCTCCCTCCATTGATTGCTATGGGTCCAGTCTCCCTCCATTGATTGCTAGGGGTCCAGTCTCCCTCCATTGATTGCTAGGGGTCCTGTCTCCCTCCATTGATCGCTAGGGGTCCAGTCTCCCTCCAATGATTGCTAGGGGTCCTGTCTCCCTCCATTGATTGCTAGGGGTCCAGTCTCCCTCCATTGATTGCTATGGGTCCAGTCTCAGTCGGTTCCGGTAACCCGGGTGCTCTGTGTTACTCACCATGATGAGCGATACAGTCAGCGCTGATCCCGATCCGAGATCAGACTAAATGACAAAAATTCGTCCCCAGGACGTTCACACCGCACGAGCAGAGCGGGAAATGGCTGCCGGGGGAGGGGAGAGGCTGGGGGAAGGCGATAGAGAGTGCGAGGAGCGGCGATACGGGGAGCAGCGCCCTCTGCCGGCTGGAAGACCTCACAGCAGCTGCCAATAGGAGGTCACAATGTGAATTGCTGGGCATTTAAACTTCATGCACAATGCTTTATTCACTAAAATCCCAATTGTTTCTAATTGAAATCTGATATGGCCGGCAAAAAATAAATAACTAGTTTTATCTCACTTTTGCCATTCAGATTTTCAGATTTAAATTTGCTACAATCTGAAGTTTTGTGATTTTCAATTTCTTGGTCAAAATGGCTGAACTAAAGATAACTTGCTGGAAGATTTTTTTCCAATTGGGCTGTTTTAAACTAAAATGTGATTAATCATTTAGGGATCCTACCCTTCTTTACTTAAAGCACCACTATAGGTACCCAGACCACGTCAGCTCAATGAAGTGCTCTGGGTGCCAGGTCCATCTAGGGTTAACCCTGCCTGCTGTAAACATAGCGGGGGACCCAGAGGGTGGGGGGGACCCAAAGACCCTATAGAGCCAGGAAAACGAGTTTGTTTTCCTGGCACTATAGTGGTCCTTTAAAGTTTTTCCAACTTCCCTCTTCTGAGGACACTAAACATACAGTAGATTGTAAGCTCATTTGAGCAGGGCCTTCTTCATCTCTTGTCTCTGTATGTAAGTTACTTGTCAAATTTCCCCATTTTATAATTATAATGTCGGGCACGCGGACTGAATAATGAGCAGCCTAATGAGGTTTGATGGAGCGGAGTTCGATGGTAAGTACAGTTTGCAGTAAGGGCAGCGCGCGCTACTGTTAAGGTGCAAGGCAGCTCGCACTACCAGTAAAGCAGCTAAGCTCGCGGCCAGGGAAAAAGCCCTGATTGGTAGTTCGCAGCGCAGGGTTCACAGTAGAGGGAAATTCGGAAGTATAAGTTTAAAGGCACCAAAATTATTTTTCTCAGCTTGTGCCAGACAAATCTGAAGGTTGGCTGTTTTAAATATTTGAACTGCTGCTCTCACCCACCCTCCCTTCAATTAGGAACCTTTGTCGTGACCTTATTATGGGATATAAGTCATCACAGGAGGGTTTATTTGGTTTAAAGGGACACTATAGTCACCTGAACAACTTTAGCTTAATGAAGCAGTTTTGGTGTATAGAACATGCCCCTGCAGCCACACTGCTCAATCCTCTGCCATTTAGGAGTTAAATCCCTTTGTTTATGAACCCTAGTCACACCTCCTCCCTGCATGTGACTTGCACAGCCTTCCATAAACACTATTTAGGCTTTCTTTATTGTAAGTTCGGTTTAATTAAGATTTTCTTATCCACTGCTATGTTAATAGCTTGCTAGACCCTGCAAGAGCCTCCTGTATGTGATTAAAGTTCAATTTAGAGATTGAGATACAATTATTTAAGGTAAATTACATCTGTTTGAAAGTGAAACCAGTTTTTTTTTCATGCAGGCTCTGTCAATCATAGCCAGGGGAGGTGTGGCTAGGGCTGCATAAACAGAAACAAAGTGATTTAACTCCTAAATGACAGTGAATTGAGCAGTGAAATTGCAGAGGAATGATCTATACACTAAAACTGCTTTATTTAGCTAAAGTACCTCCCTGGAAATCTTAAGGAAGGGAGGACATGACTGCTGGCAGGGATAAGGGGTTGGGTCGCAAGGGGATACATTGTTACACATGGGGGACATTAAGATGGGGAAAAAGGGGAGGGTACTCACCAGTTCCTGGGCAGAGGTGTAGTGTTGCTAGCTTCCCCTGGGACTGTTAAAAAAAAATATATATATATTTTCAATTATTAATTTCATTCACTTTGCTTGCATTTTTCTACTTACCTACCTTTCCCTCATCTGGCATCGGGAGAATGGCTTCAGCTGTATCAAGGGAAGATGTGGTAGCCTTATTGCAGGCGTACCTTGACTCTCATGGATCCGGTGCTTTGGAGGAGGTGATCGCCGGGGTGGATAACCGCCCGGCTCCTGCTGCAGCTTCAGGATCTTTGTTGCTCCCGTTGGATGGCGGTAGGAGGGCCAGGCGTTCCAGGCCTCCTACGCGCCTGTCCCCCAGTCCGGTGTCCAGGCGTAGAGGTCGCCAGCGGGATGTGCTGCTTGCCGCCGCCAGGTCTTCCCCGGCGAGAAGTGGAAGGAGACCGGTGGAGGCCATCATCGTTGGTGGACAAGATGGCGGCGTGGCGGGAAGATCTCGTAGCCCGCCGTCTCTTCCGGTCCCAACGGCGGGAAGAGAGAGGACGCCGGAAGTGAGCGGCAGCGTCGGCGTGCGTCAAGCCGCCGGACGTCATCATCGGGCGCAACCGGAAGTGACGCGCCCCGGCGGACCACGGCACCCGGAAGTGACGCGCACCGGCGGCGTCGTGCACCCGGAAGTGACTCATAACGTCGGCGCCCGGCCCAGAACACGGAGTTCTCAGGGCGCCGGACGCAGAGGGCGGTCGGCAGGAAGAAGAGGAGACCACAGGAGCGCCCAGACGTCCGGACTCAACACCCATCACCCTGAGGCAGCCGGTTTCGGTGATGTTCACCTGGAGCACGGCTCAGGTCCAGCTGGAGATGTCCCTAGGAGCTCTTGGTCGGATTCTGGGTCTGATGAAGAGGAGGTGTCGGTGCCAGCAGTTCCCCAGCGGTCCGGTGAGTGGTTACATTGCGCTGGCGTGCCAGGGACTGGGGCCCAGGATCAGGCTAGTGAGTGTTTGCGCCTGCTTAGGACCCTAGTGGCCACTTTCCCTTCACATCTTACTGGGCTGGATAATAGAGGGGTTCAGGGACAGGGTCTCCCAGGGCAGGCTGAGGGTCAGGTGCAAGGATGTTCCCAAACCCTTAGGGGTCAGCCTGCCGCAGGGGCTTTTCGTGCCGGTTCGGTGGGATGTGATCTTGCACCGTTAGGTTTGCATGTCCCTATGGACATGCAAGAGAAGATTTGGAGAGGTGAGTATGTGGATCTGCTGTCCTTGGTCTCTCCCGACAAGGATTCAGTGGACAGACCGCGCCGTGGGGAGGTTCCCGAGGCGGATAAAGGTAAGCAGATACCCAGAACCTTTGGTAATTGGTTGCAGGGGTTTAACATATTTGCCAGTATCCTAGTGCGCCGGTTCCCGGATAGGGCTCCGGCCCTGTTCGGGTACTTAGATCTAATTTGGGGGGCCTATAAAATATATGGCGGGCAATGCTGGTATCGCTATGACCAGCAATTCCGACAGAAGATGGCGGTGTGCCCGGGTATGGATTTCGCCGTACAGGATGGCAGTCTCTGGCTGTTACTTATGACTCCCAGTAGACCATCCCCCTTTCCCGGGCCTGCCGGAGGGACCTCCGGCTCCTCAGCAGGGCAGAGAAAAGGTGTGTGTTGGCTCTTTAATGAGAGCCACTGCCGCTGGTACAGCTCCTGCAGGTTCCGCCATGAATGTGCACACTGCGGGGGAGCGCACCCAGCTGTGCGCTGCTTCCGAAAGGGGAAGCCAGTGTCTGGAAAGGGTCCCTCTCGAGATGACATACCTAGGGGAGAGGACGCCGGTGGACGCCCTAAGGATGTTCCCGTGGCTCGCCCGGTATCCTAGGGGTCGCGATGCACAGACATTGTTTGACGGTTTTCAGGTAGGTTTCTGGATCCCCTTTGTTCCTTCTTCCTTGCCTCAGTTCGCGGACAATCTCCGCTCGGTTAAGGGCAAAGAAGATATTTTACAACAAAAATTGCAGGTGGAGGTGCAGGCGGGTCGCATGGCTGGCCCGTTTAGTGCGCCACCTTTTCCTAACTTACGGATTTCCCCTCTGGGCTTGGTTCCCAAAAAGGACCCAGGTTCCTTTCGTTTGATCCAGCACCTGTCTTACCCGTCGGGTGAGTCGGTAAATGATGCCATTGGCAAGGACATCTGTCGCGTGCGATATGCATCATTTGATAGGGCTTTGGAGTTGGTTCGTCGGGCCGGGCAAGGTGCTTTGTTGGCGAAATCTGACATAGCATCAGCTTTCCGTCTGTTGCCTGTTCACCCCTCCTGTTTTCACCTACTAGGCTGTTTTTTTCAAGTGGTTTTTTACTACGACATGTGTTTGCCCATGGGTTGTTCTATTTCGTGTTTTTATTTCGAAATGTTTTCTTGTTTTCTCGAATGGGTAACGAGACAGGAGGCGGGTTTGGATTCTGCTACTCATTACTTGGATGACTTCCTTTTCGTTGGCCCTCTGGGTTCGGGTGAGTGTGAGCGGCTTTTACAAACGTTTCGGGCAGTTATGGGATATTTCGGGGTCCCCGTTGCAGAGGCTAAGACGGTGGGCCCGGTTCAGGTTTTGTCTTTTTTGGGGATTGAGGTTTGGATGTTATGCGTAACCTGACGTTTTTGGAGTTGTTTCCCATTGTTGTTTCTCTGGAGCTCTGGGGGGAGGCTTTGGCCAACAGGACTGTTGTTTTTCACACGGACAACATGAGTGTTGTCCATGTGATAAACCGTTCCACCTCCAGTTCCCCTCCAGTTCTCGCGCTACTGCGACGGTTGGTACTTCTTTCCTTAAAGTTCAATGTTTGGATTAGAGCTTGTCATGTCCCGGGTGTTGACAACGTGGTAGCTGACTCTCTTTCTCGGTTTCAGTGGGACCGTTTTCGGGAGTCGGCGCCAGCCGCGGAGGCTGTGGGTATCCGATGTCCGGTTTCCTTATGGGAGATCGATTTGGAGGATTGAGGAGCTTGGTGTCGGACTCCTTAGCTGACTCTACCTGGAAGGCATATCAAGCCGTCTGGCGGACGTGGCTGTCCTCGTTTTCGCAGGACCTGATGCTGGGGTCGGAGTCCGGGCGCTTGGAGGCGACTCTGCTACTGTTGGAGTCCATGTTTGCGCAGGGTAAGTCTTGTTCTGCGGCCGAGAAGGCTTTGAGCGCCCTATCCTTTCTTTGTCGGTCTATGGGTTGGCAAGACGTTTCTCGGTGGTTCGGTATACAGCGGGTTATTCGGGGTTGGAGACTTAGAAGGGCCCCGGACCGCCGCCTCCCGGTGTCGGCTGACTTGCTGGGACGGATCCTGGCGGCTATGGGGGCGGTTTGTTTCTCAGACTATGAAGCCT